TGTCAGGCCATCACAAGTCCCTGTAATGCCATCACAAGTCCCTGTAAGTCCATCACAAGTCCCTGTAAGGCCATCTTTAGTCGTTCAGTCTTAAGCCAATTAACAAGCTATTCAAATGAGCTGTGACAAAAGCATTCTTTTGTCATTGTCCACCCCGTTAATTATGACCGGACCTGTGAAAGGACTTGTAAACACAGCACTATGTTCAGTGCTGTAGGTCCCTATATTCACCCAGACAGCTAAAAGTTCTTTCTGTTATTCTGAGATTTTTTCCCCCATTGTTCAGGTGGGCCTCCTCTAGGAATACATCAAGGAGACCGAACAACACAGGATCTGCTGGTGACTAAGACGAAAGGGGATGGCACCCATCCGCCTAGGGACAGGGGCCTGTCTTTTGAAGAGAGCTTCCACGAGTGTGAGATCAGCAGCACCCTCCTGCGCAGCCCCTCCGAGGATGGATCCACCCTGCTGAGAATGGGTGGGCTCACCGTTTCCACTGATGCGGACCCAACCACTCCAGAGAACGGGGGAGGCCTGCCTGCTTCGGACAAGGACCTGCCTGAAATTCGACAGGACAGCTATGAGGATAGTATCGTCATCCACATGGTATCAGAGAGTCCTGCCAACCACACTGACTCCAAAGTCGAGAGTGACAGAGTTGAAACAGTTTATCAGGCGGCAGATGACAGCAAAGCCAAAGAATTTGAGGTGAACATGGAAGAACGTCAGACGGAAAGAAAGGAGAAACCCTCTGAGCTTAATGTGAAGCAAGATGTGTCAGGCAGGGAACCAGTTAATCCATTCAGTATCCTAGAAACCAACTTGCACATCCCTTGCCAGACCGACATCTACGACGCCAAAGAAAATGCAACTCCAAATCCAGAGACACCCCACGACGACCACCAAACAGGGACCCAAGAGGGCGCTGTTGAGGCGGTGCAACCACCGGCAGATGTAGCCAAGGGAAGCCCCGATGAGGGCGGCAATGAGGAAGACCCCCAGCATGTCCATGGCAACAGCCTGGGGGCCATGAGCGGCTGGTCTTCAGAGTTTCAGAACCAGCTCTCGCCGGACACGCCAAGCCAGGAATCAGTACCCCCGGATGCTTCTAAAAGTAAGCCTGCGACAGAAAGTCATAGCGATGATACGTGCCCTCATGAAAAGCCACCAGCGAGCAGCTGCATTTGCCTCCCATAGATTGTTATCATTATTAATCATTTCTGGTAATGACACCAAGAAGTGCCTTTGGCACTGTAGCTCGCAAGCCTGAAGAAACCTGTTGAGAGGAGACAAAGAGAAGCGGGAATACAGTTTGAGAGGTGGGAGGAAAACCCCAGAGGAATATTCTGGGTAAAACCCACGGAGTCATGTAGCGACTGAAAACCAAGATTCCAACCTGGACCGCAGAGGTGGAAGGCAAGAAAAGAACCACTACGCCAACCTGTACTCTCATAGCCACAGCCAAGACTTTCGGGTACAGCTCTAGTCTTGAGGCTGAGCTCAGATGTGGCTCTTGGGGGTTTAAGATGGGTTTAGGAAGTGCTGTAACTTCATCCTAGTCTCTGCTGCTTCTTAACCTTTCATTCACTTTCATCGTTTCCTTTTTTTGGTTTTGGTCTGCATTTGTCTGTGGAATTATTAAAGTGATAAGTTTCCATTTATAAGGTTAGCTACCTTTGTGGATTGAAAAAAAAAGAATCTACTTTATTGCCAACAATTTCACTTGCACCTAAGCTACCATCTTTTGATTTCCATAAAAACCCACAGTATCATGAGGCGAAGTAGCATTTTCACACTTTAAGTTCCAGACTCGAAACTCATCCATGTTAAAACTGACACCGTTCTAAATATAAGCCCTAAAAATCTCAATTTGATAAATTCATCAGTTTTTGTTCATGTTCAAGCAGCACTCAGTTACAAAACCATGCTACAGCAGTATAGCCTACAGGGCCCCCAGCCCCCTACGTCATTCCCAGAAGCCTTGGATCAACGGACAGACAACCATCAAGCCCCGCCCATAGAAGGGGTAGGTATTTACACTTTCCTTTTGTTGATATTTTGTAGTCTCAAGTTGCGCCCCATTGCCTATCTTGTGATGTGATCCCTCGGAATGAGTCACCATGGAGCTTGTGCATATATTTTCCTTTTTCATTCTCGGTTTTGTTTCATTATTGAGGATCTGAGACCTCCATAGTAGGGTTGATTATAAATTCCCAAAATGAATTTTCAACTGCAAGGGGAAAAAAGCCTCTTCACTTAAAAAACATTCTCTAAACTTGCTTTGCAAGATTCAGTTACATTTTGCTTTTTTATGGCAAAGAGCTTATGCCTGTTGAGCTGCAAAGGACAGCACAGGTGTCCGGGACTTTTTGACTGTAAAATTTTGGTGGCTCTGCTTCGATGTGTGGTACCCAAGCGTTCCAGTGAACGGTCAACTTGACGCCACCAGACTTAGATGTTCCTGTCACGCCAACAGCCCTCTTTTTATTCCCCCATAACCCTAATCTTACCGAATGCTTGGCTATCTGTGGGACCTTGTGGCATTGGGCAGTTTAGCATTGTAGACCACAGAAGCCAGACCCATTGATTACTTTTGCTTTCAAATGTTGTGGTGGCCGGTAGACTGGGACCCCGACACTGTTTGGCTGGAGATGACCGACCCGTTGGAATCTTTGATAAAGTTCAAATTGCTGTTGTGGCATCGCAGCAGGGTATCTGGTCAAAACACTGTGGGGTTAGAGATAGGTACAAGATGAAGGGTTCAAAATTGTTTCTGAAGTTTGTTTTATCTGAATGGAATTCACTCATTATGTGCTCACAGTTTCACTTCTGGTGCCTAGAGGTTAATTCTTATCCCTGTCAGTGGCATAACTGGGCGGGGGGGGTATAGGCTTTTGCCCTCCCGTGTGCCCTGCTCTCAACGTTGAGTTGAGGAAAAACAATTGGAGACAGTCTGCCTTGGTCAGTGTTTCAACTGTGACCAAACTCACAGAGTAAACTTACTTCCTCGAGAAGATGAGTGCTGTCAAGTGCCCCCTGCGAACTGTACCCCAGTTATGCCACTGACTCCTCAGCTTCCCTTAATCCGCTGTCGTACGTGACATAATACCTGCTTCTGGTCCTAGGCGTTAACATCTCGTGCCCGCAGTCCGTCTGACCTCGACGACTTGCCCTCAGACTTTGAGGTAATTCCTTTAAGTACCTCACCAACATCACAATACGCCGACGCTGTAAGTGGCTTCTTGATAAAGGTCAAAGCCTCTGGATTCCCAAGCCCTGCCCTTCCCCTCCCCACAAACAAAATTCATTCACTAACACTTCACGGGCAGAATCACCCATCCTGAAGACTCCAGATGAGCTTTTTTGGCATTTCCACTTTCAACCAAAACAAACAAAATTTCCTCCAACGCCAAGAGCAACAGCTTTGCAGAAATATGTGTTGGGAATTGTTCCATGCAGTCTATGAAATAAACTTGACAAGGAGCATGCGTACATGCACATTGTAACCTGAGCTCTTAAAACAAAGCCTTTATCTTTCTTTGCTTGTTTGTTCACAGTTTCTACCTTAAAAGCATGACGTAATTCTCTTGGGCCATTCAGACTATGGCCCGTAGAGGCAAACAATAATGTAAATGGATTTGTATCTTCCAAGCCTGCTTGGTTTTGTCATTTAAATCATGGCTCACATTTGTGGGAATTTTTTTTTTAATTCTATTTAAATTCTTTAATTCTTTCCAAAAGCTGAGCATGTTTTATGTTGATTTTAACCAATGTCTCAAAGTTCTTGTTTTGTGAGCCCATTCTGCTTACCTTGTGCATGCTTTCAGTTTTTGTCCGCCATGCTGAATCCAGTGGTTTTATACCTTGTGTTGAGCTTTACATTTTCTTTTTGTGCACATAAAAATACAGCATACCTCGCCTGGGCACGCAAGAAACAAATTGTAATGGAACAAGTTATCTCCAGGCTGTCCTTGTTGTATTTTTACGTGGACTTTGCCTTGGATTTACCCTCCTTTTTTTTAGGGTCTTTGGTTTTTGGTTGCGGCAATGCACTGATGTTGTATGTGTCCATTTTAGGCATCTCTCAAAGTTTTTGTCCACCAGCGTAAACCAGTTATGCAGGCAGATGTCTGATCAGTGCAGCAGACACATGTCCACACATTTCTAGCCGAATTATTTAAATCTCCATCCAAGTATCATGCCCGTGAAACAAAACTCCTACTTTAAAGCCAAAAAGTATTCACATCTGGAAGGTCAAGCAGTTTCTCTGTGTAGGAAGAAGAGGTTGATGAAGTATAAACACAGAATCATATGGAGAACTTAAGGAGCAGGCAAAATTGAATTTGAAGTATATTAGGGCCGTTTTCCAATACTCAACTTCGGCTCCGTCGTGGGCTTCAACTGTTTTTTAACTAGTTGACTTTGAAGCTGTGAGCTCAGTAATTAGTCTAATAGTGCCACAAAATATCAAATAAGATGTAAGAGAACCAAAATTTGCAGAAATCCAATGCAATTTAAATGCTTCAGGCCCACAATCGGGGATTGATTTTGGGAATGAAGCCTGAGACGGAGACGAAGTTGAGTATTGGAAAACGGCCCAGAATAGAATTTTAAGAGTTCAAGATAACAAGAGTAGTTACTGGAGGTTAGCGACATTCTTGAGAATAAATGTATATTCCTGAGGCACGGATAGGAACAATTCATTTGCGGTACTTCTCTTGAAATGCTAAAATTGTCCGGAAGAGGAGGATGGCTGCATATTAGCGGTATACTTTCTGTCTTTCAGAGAACGCAATCTCTACTGGCGATGATCACCGAGATTGGTCGAGAGAAAGGCTTGGACAAGCAAAATTACCAGTGCAAAGGTTGCTCCAGGCCAGTTGGCATAAGTGAGTGTCAGTGTTTTAGCTAGGACCATTTTAGTGCTGGGTAAATGTTTGGATTGTGAAGCGTAGCGCGCGGTGACTGGAGCTCTCGTGGCTCGTAGCCATACTGGATTTGCGCCCTCTATCGATACTGCTGTTCAGCTGGCCTTGAGCCAAGACTACAAACATGTGCACGCAGCCTCAGGGGAGGCTACATTATATCCCATAATTTCATATCTGGGTCTCAACGCTTTCTGATGCTTGAAATTGGTATGTTTTCAGTAATATTTCAGTTCATGTTTTGGAAACTCCGTGCTGGGCGGCATACCCCAATTTGAGAGCCGGGCGGAAATTTGCAGTACCAAGTGGTGCCACCCACCACGGCTAAAACACTGTTGAGTGTTCTCATTTTAAGCACTTGAAGACGTGAAATTTTTAAGTTTGAAATTGCTGGTTTTCACCATGAGGGTGAAGACAGAGTGAAGATTACCATTTGTGTGGAAAGTAGAATTCATCACCTTCAGATTCTTAATTCCTAATCATTTCCCCCCCCCCCCAGTTTACGGAAAGGCACGGGTCTGTAGCTATGACGGCAATTACTATTGCTACGAGTGTCACAAGGACGATGAAGCCGTCATTCCAGCTAGGATTCTGTACAACTGGGACTTCCGTAAGCACAAAGGTAGATATTGTTGGCTTGTCTTGGCCACAGCAGGTGCACAGTAGCCCTCTGCTGCTGATTGATTGGAAGGGAGGGATGGCCAACAGGATGTTGCACCCCAAGAACAAGCAATTTTGGGGACTGTTTCGATTCCCTTCTTTCTAAATAAGGTAAAGAACCCCAAAATTTAGTCTCACCTCTAAGAAAGGCCAAGAGGTTATACAAAGAAATTTTGAACTGTTTTACCTTCCCCCAACCCCCCCCCCTCCCAAAATTTGGTTCTGGATTCTGTCCTCTGTTGGTGAAAAAATACACTTTATAAGGCAGAGTCACTTCAGCCCTCACAAATCTGCTGAACACAGAAATGTTTGATTTAGGTTAGAGGGGTTGCCAGTCGAAATTCTATGTGATACTAAATATATTTTGACTGGTTATTAGCTTTGACAAGCAGTGGAGGTCCAAACGTAACTTACGTTACTATTCACCTCACACACACCTTTCTCTCCTAACTTGTAGTTGCTGTGCACACCAAGTTGTTCCTGCAGCAGATTGAAGAGATGCCACTGATCGAAGTGAAGGAATGCAACATGTCGCTCTACAAAGCCTCCTCTGAACTTGCCAATGTCTTGGTGAGTCTCACAAGCTCCTTCAGGAACAAGGTTTCCCCATTCAACCCTTGGCATCACTTCAGTCTGTCTAGAGCGAGCCATCTGTTGTTTATGTAGCACCTGGAGTACACAACCTAACATATTTATCTCAGACTTTGAGAGTTGAAGATCTAGAGTTCTGAAAAGAAGCCTTCAAAGGGAAATTGAGACACACTGTAAATAAAACTTTTGGAAAAGCCTTAAAAAACAGTAAACAGACTAAATAACCTAAAATCTACTCCAGACAAGTTATCTTTCCTTCAGCCAAAGATTGTCCAATTTTTATCCATCCTTGATGTTTTTTCAGCGAGTACGTACTCAGCTGAAATACTTGAAGGCGTACCTGTTCACGTGTAAGCAGTCAGTTGCTGAAGGACTCCGTAAGAGAATCTGGCCACGAGAGTACATGCTGGACCATGTGCACCTGTACTCAGTCATGGTAATTTTCTTTTACTTTTTAGCGGAGCAGAACAGACGAGATAAAAATGCAGTAGTTAATTTTACTTTTGCAGTCCCTACCTCATATAACAGTCACTTGTCTTGTCCTGGTTTTTCAGTTGTTGTTCGCCCTTGGTCCCCACATCCTGCCTGATTGTTTTCTTTCGTATTCTTTGTTCAGCCTTGTAATTTTGTTTTCATTGATTTGCTTTTATGTACACTCTTAAACTCTGTTATATTGCTTTGGTCGAATGAATAATATTAACCCTAACCCCCTAGGGTGTATGTAAAATCATATTGAAACTGGAGGATTTGGGACTGTTAGGGTTAATAAATAATAAAAATGATGTATTTTCACTCCAAATTAAATGTACTTATTAAGGGAAGGGGGTAAATGACAAAGGAAGGTTCACTCTTATGAGATTTTAGTAATTTGAGATGAAGAAACTTTTAGATGTTTTTATTTGATAGATTTTTTCATTTGGTTGATCTTTTTTCTTCAGAAAATTTCGAGCAATGCTTCGAGCAAATTAACAAATTAGGGTTACATCTTGCTTTGCATCTTGCATTGCCTGATTTAATGGAAGGAAATTTTGCAATCTTTAACATCCAATGTCTCTTTTGCACAATTCCAAGGATTTTCTCCAAGTGCAATCGGGCGTGCTGCTTCACTTTCTGAGGAAAGTCATTGTCTTTGCGGCCAAGCACGTCCAGCAGTGTGCCCTCTGTAGTCAGAAAGGCTTCATCTGTCTCATCTGCGAGAGTCCCAAGATCATCTATCCATTTGACACCGATCTGACTGTCCGAGTAAGTAGCTTGTAGCCGTCCTCTTTTTCAGGAGTATATTACTGCTTTCAACCACTTGGCAAAATGTTTTTCCTGTCCTTGTCTCCCAACCTAACCACAAATTAAGCTCTGAAAACTAATTATAATCTCAGTCTTTTTGCAATAACTATCTTGTTTGGCCTTACTCACCAGTCGGCCATATTGAATTGAATGCGAGGTTAACATTTTTCTTTGGCACCTGAGAAAAAAAAGGACTGAAATAAAACTTCGCTACAAGTTAATGTCACTTTTGCTGATGAAGATTTTAAAATTTGTGGTTAAGTATATCAAAATGTTTTAAGCCACATTTTCATAAAAGTGAAACCAAGGCATGGAACCCCCAAAAGTCTGGCTTACCCGATTTAACAGATTACACTGAATGAACACAAGAAATATAGCTCCCCTAGTCTTTTGCCAACCAAAGAAGTCTGAAGACCTACAGAAACGGTGACAGATTTCTTTGGACAAATCTAAATGGTCTCTTCAATCTTTATTTGCATCGCAGTGTGATACCTGTAAAACTGTTTTCCACAAGGCCTGCAAGTCAGACGTGACGCCATGCCCAAAATGCAAGCGACGCCTTCTCAGAAATCAGCAACTGCAGGCGTCACCCCAAGATCTGGATTTTGCGTCCCCATTTACATAACCAGACCAAAAAAATTTAAACTCCATGACAGCTCCAGTAGGTGCAGGTATCCACAATGTAGTTATAAACATTTTTAGTTCATTGAACATGTATCTTCATAATGACATCGGCAGCACTATAAGTTACAAAAATATATCAGTCCTAACGTAGCCGAAAGTATCTTCCAGAGTTCCCCAGGAGGCCTTTGGAGGATTTACATGATTAAGAAAGATCTTTTGGGACAGGTGAGAATTCTGGGTTTGCACAGTGGCTGATTTCAGAGGATTAAGACATTTTCCTGGCAAAGAAGCCTGGGGACTTGTGATTCTCATCAATTTACATGAAGTGAGTCATTTGTAATCAACCTGAAACATGTATGTGCTTCGCTGTTTTTTTTTCCAACCTCGTGTCCTCCACCTATTTCAACTTTACATAAACCCCTAAGCACTGTATGTGTTTTAAGGTTGTATTCACATTACTCAACAAAGGGCCCATTTTTCTGGAGTGACCGTGGGAAGTGACCATGGGAAACTGACCCACGCAAACCAACCACTGAAAACTGACCAGCGGAAACGGGCCGTGTGATGTGTCGGTGCCAGGTCTGCTCTGTGCTTTTTGTAATCAAAGCTAGCATTTTGTTGCATCTCACCTTACCTGGTACACGACCGACCTATTGTTCGGATCCACAGGAGATAAATGAGGTTGTAACATGAATACCCGTATGTTTATGTGACTGGCTTTTTTGTTTTAATTAACACTCCATGGTGACAGTTTTGCAATCCACACGCGTCTGGTGAGGCCAATTTTAACAAAGCTTCGCACACAAGTTTGTATCGCTTGGAAGATGCCTTCCTTAGCAGCCGTATATTCTTTGCTACAAGTTTAAAAGTAACACTTGTTTCACAGTTATCGTGTCATAGAGTATCTTCTGTCATGGAACTTCGGACAATTTGCAAACAGACTCAGAAATTGTTTCTGCAGCATTTATTCTACGCAACTCTGCTTACAAAATGAACTACAGAACCTTGTGCAACTGGGACAGAAAACATTGCATCAAGGAATTCAATGTGCAATATGTCATAAAACTGAGCTTCGAACAACTACATGTAATGGGCTTTTCAACCGAACATGGTCAGAGTCCACAATGGGTAGGTTGTCAACACGACTGAAAAACCAATGTCTTTAGCTGTGACTTTTCTGGAAACTGTTGGCAAACATTAGCTTATTGTGGGTAATGAAATGCTCAGATATGTACCATAACGAAATGTTTCTAATGTGTAATGTATAATTGGTGAGTTTTCAATTGTGAGGGTAATGCTAATTTAATATTGATCTATGCGATCTGTATCAAAATCCCAAGTATTACTGGTAATAAAGCAAACCAAATTGCCGAATGCACCTGTAATTTTACACAAGTCTTTTGTCTAAAGCTAAGGATATTACAAGATGTGAAGAAAGCTTTTGCAATTCTAACATCTTGTCCTTTTGAGTAAAAACTGAAGTATTCCTACAGGGGAAAAATGAGATTGGGTAATAATGAACGAGATTTAAAGAGCAGATTAGACCTCTATCATGGAGGAGTCATCTTGCTTTTCTATCATTCAAAGCAATAACCAGACTAAGGCTGGATCCGAATCTGTTGTCTAGAGCTAGGTCTAGGTCTTCCCTCCATTTGAAATGTGCGGAGATGCGTAGACAATAGACCTAGCCGTAGCTCTGGAAGCCCCTTTCGGACACAGCCTGAAGGGAAAATAGCCTGTTCCCTTTTATCAATATGTAAAGTTGTATTAATGATTAATGTTGCCAACGGGCTTATAGGGAACAAGACAAACACGACAGTATCATGATAAAGGTATGTGGGGCAGACATTTGAACACTGCATCATTCAAGAGGCCTGAAAAGCATGTACACGTTTTACAAACTCAATACTACACCATTATTTACAAGTCCGAGAATTGGGGGTGTCATTTATACACATTTACAGATTTCTTTTTGAAAGGCCTCCCGCTGCTGACTATGTAGTTGTCTTCATTTGGAGGTCCAAGTTTCCAGTCTGCTGGAGAATTCGTTTTTCTCGGTACCACTCGCGTAGTTTGGTAACCGGTTGAGCACATCTGCAGTTTTTAAGGGAGAATCAGCCGTCGATGGCTGGTTCAGAGGACGAATTTGAAGACGACGACGATGACATGGTTTTTTCCAAAAACTCCTTTACCTTGGCCTGCAAATCGGACTGCTCACTCGCCCTCCGTTTTTCCATTATCTCGGAGAATCTCTCCCGGCAGATTTTGACGGCTTCGTCCTGGCTCTCCGGGCTGGAGTGACGTCGGCGGGACAAGGCGGCGAAGGTAGCTGGGAGGTTGAGGAGCACCTTGCGGCGCGCTTCCCGTAGCGGCTTCTCCACACGCCACTCGGAGGCCGGCGCGCTTGCCGACGGCCAAGATGGGGGAGGGGCGTTGAAGGGAGATACATGTGTAGGAACTAGAGGATCGACATCTGCTAGCTCAAAGACTGGCTGCATGCGTCCACTCTGAGAAATTTTGATGTTTGGGACCTGGATGCGAGAGGAGGGCGGTGGGCGTGGCATGTAAGCAGGTGTGTCTGGCCTGTCCGCGATACGGGCGTTTGTCTCATCTACTCCTTGAGGCTTCAAGGATGACAATGTAGGTTTAGGGGATCGGGGCGAAGAGGAGGGCTTGCGCTGTTCATCCGGTGAAACCGGCATCACGTTCACATCGATAGATATTTCGCTCAGACTGGCACTAGACTGTGAATTCAGTCCCAGACTCTCGTTGGATACAGACCGGTGCAGAATCTCCGTAGATCGGTGGAAAAGCTTTGGCGAGTTGCGGGGGGAATCTCGTGGGGAGCTGTGTGGGGAATCTCGGGGAGAATCGGTCATATAGACACTGTTGATCCAGGCGTGCCTCCCAAGGAGTTTGCTGCTCGGAAGTTTGGGAGAACCGGAACCCGGCGGCGTTGACGGGCCGCCGAAACTGCAGGTTTTGTCGACCGACCCGGGGTCGGTCTCAGGAAACAGTTTATCTGCCGTCGACGTATCGCCTTTTTTGAGTTTCAACTGCAAAAGCTGGCTGGCCAAGGCCAAGTCGTTCTCGCTGTACCTTCTCGGCCCCGCGCCCTTGGCTGCGAGGGCATCGTTACTGCGCCTGCGATCCGGGACGGCCGAGCTGATCCTGGGCAGACGATAGCGGCTGTACTCGGACAAGTCTGCTTTCCCGCCATTTTCCTCCACATTGGCGAAAGGGCTACGGTGGCAACCGCCGTTGGCGGCATTTCGTGCCTCCAACTCCATCCACACCTTGACGGAATTGCCGGCCATGTTCAGCTCGTGGAGAGTCTTCTTCAAGTCCTCGGTGGTTCGGCGCAACAGTTTGACGGACTTCTTCTCCTTGGACTCAAGTCTTCCAAGCGTGGTCTCCAGAAGCTTCTGCTCGCCGCTGTTCAAGTTCCGGGCCTGTTCGGAGCGCCGGTCGAGCTGCCTGGCCGTCAGACCTCCGCGGTGGCTGCAGAGACTAGTACTCATGCTGTGCTTTTTGGCGTCCATCTTGGAAAGTTCTGCTCTTGTATCTGCTGGTATCAAACTGTTGGTGCATGGACGACAAGCAGAACGGTAAGTCTTCAGCGCTCGGGGATTATTTCCAGTCCCGACAAATTCCTGATTAGCATTCCATGTAAACATTCCAGTTAATCCAAATGTTTCTTGCTTCGAGGTAGCCTCCCTAAAGGTGTGAACACTTTCTGAGAAATCAAAGTCCTCTCGCTCGGCCGCAGAGTTTGTTTGCTCTTGAACTTACTGTGAGAATGAAAAGGGATTACTTCTGTTTTTCCCAGTAAAGAGGTATTCCAAACATTTGCTTGTCTTTTTCAGACTATAAACATTCCGCACATTCAGCTATATAGGTACGATGTCCGAACCTCCTCCGCTGTTCAAAAGCATCTCCGACAAAGTCAACTTTCAAATACGTTCTTGGGGTTGGCCCTATAGTTTCGCGCGCTTGTAGCTTAACTTGTCGCATCCCCTACCTCAACGTTCTCCTCCAGTGACATTAAAAATTCTTTTCAGTCTCAACCAGAACATCAGTCAGAACAGTGGTCGAAGTACACCACACCTTCAGAGAGCAATAAAAATTGTGACACTTCCAGCGCGGTGTTTCGTCTGCGTCAGGCGTGAATTGGTGTCACCCATCAGTGTCGCGGACTTGGCTCCTGTAGCTTTTATTTATATTATCGCACGCTACAAACACATTTTCATGAAGTATTCACGCATATGACGCTTCCCCTTCAACCGACAGTCACCTAATAAATAACACAGTTCCCTTTGTCTAATCATTGTTCTGGTTGTAGAATGGGTCCATGGTTTAATTATTGCCGACCGCATAGGTTGTTTGACCTCATTTTCACAAGCAGCCCAGCTGCCAGCCTTTAAGGTGTTTGTGTGTCTATTTTAAGGTCCTTTGATCTTGAATTACAAACAATGCAAGTGAGACGTGATAAAGACATGGAATCAAGAAGCTTTTCTAACAGCGTGGGATCCGGTCTGTTTGTCTTGTCCATTTACAGCGGTAGACTTTACTGGGCTATTTTTGCCTCTGGATAATTAATACGACTAGAGGGCCAGTGATCCGCAAAAGTATCAAATTTTTAATACTGTAGTCGATGAGATTCACTGCATAAATTTGAGCTCAATGATTTTCTTACTCGGTAAAAAAACTGTCAAGTGGTCGCTTGGTAGAGGTATTTTAGGATATTTTCTTACTTGATGAAAATTGAAGAGTGATTTGGAGGGTGGGGTGACAAGTGAAAAGGGGAGTCGGTCAGCAGTCGCGGAAGATGTGCAATTTTTCGTAACATCTTGGCGTGGGATGTGAAATTACTCAAGGAGGCATAACATGCCTCCCCAAGACAGCACTTGTCTCCTATGCCACTCATTTAGTTTTTCGTGATAAATTCCAACAAGTGGAGTTTCGGCTCATAATAAAAAAAACTGACTCATCTTGCAACGGATACAATCAATCTCTCCCCATCGACTTTTCCCTGGTTACCCCCTCCCCAAAAACTAGTACCCAGAAATTAATTTCTGAATATGAAGGCATCTTTCAACATATTAAACCAGACAAATGTCAAGTGCGTTTTCGGGTCAATGTTTAATATGAAAATTAGTTAAGATTACGCATGTACAGTATGTTACAGAAAGATTAGAAAACAAAGCATTTCACATTGTAACATAGTTTGCATAATACATCGTACTGTATCTGTTGACACTTTTACAACATGCACACACTTTGCGATGCCGTATCATAAATACACTGAGCTTGTGGGGGCAATGTCTGAATGTTACGGCTGCGGCTGGAAATAACACATGCGCCTATAGAAGCCACTGTCTAATGGCTACACCACTTCCCATAGACGCGTGTGATACTACTAGCCGCAGCAGGTTGATTAAGACACGGCCTAGGCATGGACAAAGGCTACATTGTTGACACTCTTTGATTTAATACAAAGACAGGGTGCCTTCCTAGGGTGAAAAAGTCACGAGCTTAAGACTAAACCACGGAAAATGCCCTACTGATTTGAATAGACCAGCTCTTTCCCCAACTTGGTTTTGTCAGTATCAAAAACGTAAGACTACATCTCAATTCATCAAAGTCCCCGTGATTTAAGAACGAAAAACAACACAATACCATGAAGAAAATTCTGTTTCAAAGGAACAGATTGGGCCAAAGTACAAGACAAATTTAAGCACATTTTACAGATCCAAAGACAAATTAATATGAAAGCAAGAGAGTACAAAACGCAGTTTTTAAAAAATGGAAATTGGATAATTATTGTTTACCGTCTCTGACTTCATGGCACCCGCAAAATTGCCCTGGATTTACTGGCCAAATCCATCGAATGGTTTCAACCAATTCTCTGCCTTATGTAATACAATCAAATTGTTGTTTTTATCCTTTCAACAAGAAACATTGTTTAAATTGGTACTGTTTCACACACCCTGTACAACTGCTCTGGTAATGCTAAATTACACGTTTCAATTTATACATTTTTTAACGTAAGTATAAATGTGACAATTCTTACCAAATGTTGACCATTCTGCTGTTACAAGGAATGCAGTTGTTACGACCATTAAGGCAAGTAGCCATACTTTCCCTTGCAAGACATGCATGTTAGAATTAGTTTTTACCGAAGACTACCAAGTACATGTTAGTTAAACCGTTAACCCAGATTATAGCCTAGCTGTTTAATCCTAGTTAACCCTGTTCACCACGTGTTAAAGCAGATAGCGTCATGCTCACTGAAAGAAAGTACACAAATTGATAACCTGATAAATAAAAAAAATTACACATTAAAAACAGCACTTACCAATTTGATAGCATATTAACATAGTCTGGACACTTGATTTTGGAAATGCAATAAGAGAATTCATGCTTCCTCTCATGAAATAGTTTGTCTAGGTTCAAGTCTGACTTTAAACTTTTTCCCGTTATATTGCTACATACGTGACCAGTGAATAACTATATACAGTCGTTATCAATTAAAACAACTCTTTCTGGTATATGAGACAATGTCCTTCCTGCAAGGAGAGCTTACATTTGTAAATTAATTACTATTCTTAACACTGTTGGACTTGAATCAAGTTCCCTTAACTGAGACTGGGTAACCGGAAGAGTGACCTGTTTGTCAATTTCCAAATGTTACAAAGTTAAGCATGGGTCTCACAAATCCTGCACATGTACATTACTGGCCAGATCGTGTATTGGCCAAATGGAGAAAATGTTGAAGCCAGAATCAACTGTTGCGTAAAGGTTAAAGCAGAACCACATGATAAGGATGTCCTCTAATCAAAAGCACATTCAATAAGTTATGTCACAAGATGAACTTAAAATTTCTCACTTTCTTGCACTCCAGCATTTTGTCATCTTTAAACACCTGCCAAACACACATAATAATTCAAAGCATGTACATGTGTAGTTACTTTAAAAATGAATACATATGCCTATTAAATATTCAAAGCAGATACGCAGATCAATTAGCATACTGGGCCATCCAACTGTACAGGTATAAAGTACCAAAAGTTCGTCAGAAACCAGAAATGGGACTTTCTTTGGATTAATATCGATGTGTGCACTTCATTCGGATAGGCACATACATGCAAACACATTTTCCAATACATAAGATGCAGTCTGGAAACTAGTGATACAGCTAGTGTTCAAGTTTTGAGAGGAAATGCAAATAAAAAATTGGCAAGTTGCCACAGATGAAACTTAACATTGATTTTTGCTTCAAAAGCTGCAAATTCAACCTGGCAAGACTGCTTTGCATAGTACAAAGAAAGAAAAAATTTAATTATAGCCATCAGTACCAGATTTTGTTAAACTACCGAACTGTATAATATTGGAACTTTGTGAGATGGCCAAAATAGCTTATGTTGATTTACACAGTAAAAGCTTTTCAAAGTTGCTTTAGGTTGCAGCCATCTTTGTAATGTACCCTGAAGGCACACTATGTTACAGCAACAATTTTTACAACTGGTACCAGCCTACATGTATATAATAACTAACACACCTCACCTTTTTAAGATTTGTCTGTAAAGAAAATATGGAAGATGTCAGAAATGAAATCAAGTCTTTCATTTTACAATCATAAATCACATTTACCAGCCTCGTCTCATCATATAACAGACTAAATGAGGTATGACAAGAGTATTAATTGAAAATTCTTGATTTCGTGTTAATCGCCATCTGAACTGTGATTGTTCCAATTACTGCTCACCCACTTTCTTCATTTTGGTCCTCGTAGAACTCTACACATCTGCAAGATTTACTCTAAGTTATTGCCACCACAATCAGATGTCAAAACATTTATAGATGTACATGTTCACAAGCTACCCCCAACACCAACCACGATGTTTTCCTGAAATGGAACAGGATTATCCAAATCTTTGCTACTTGGAAAAACAGCTAAGTGCCACTTGTTGACTTTCAACAAGTTAAACAAAATGAGCATGAGTTCAGCAGAGTACAAAACGACTCACACTCCACCCCACTCAACACTTGATATTTCTCAGGGCCTCCTCAAGTAGTACCAAAATATCAGAATGAAAATGAAATTCAAGGGCAAAAACTAAGATGTCCTCAAATAACAGCTCGCATTTGATGTGTATAATGATGAACTCAGTATCACCAATTCACAATGTTGAGTGTTCGATTACCTACTTGCTTCAAAGAGACATCTTCAGAACTTAAAAGTTAACATTAAGTGTACATTCTAATCCCTGTTTATCAATTACTGAAGCACCAAATGAACGATGTGAAAGTGGAAGCCATCATTAATCATGTGCACAAAATTCTATGTGCAAAAAAGTGAAACATACCGATTCCTTCAAACATTCCAAACCTCGCTTTGTCTCTGTCTACTGCTTCATCTTGAGTTCAGAAATCAGTCTCAAGCATCACTTTGAAAATACTCCAAAACTTTGATCTCAGATGACACAGTCTAATACTTCTGTTGCAGCAAATGATGCTGCACTGAGCCTGCTGAGCCTGTGGGTCTCAAATCGGCAGACCAATGATTGTAACACAGCCAAGATTTGGAAACAATGTTTGGAAGAGCCAAATCATAAGCTGATGCTGCTCTCCGGAGACTGGCCGATGATTGCCGAGGCTATTCCGAGATCCCAGTTTGCTTCCTCCAGAGCCTGACGGCAAGTGCCATCATCCATCAGGAAGGTCCGAGTCAGGTAGCGAATTTTTAGGATTTTGATGGTCAGCGGAACATTCCAGAGGTTATCTCGCAGGACTTGAGTGCACTCCTCTAGAGAGATCTACATTTGTGAATCAAAATGAGAATTAAATCATCTAAAATTCAGTGATATGACACTGGATTATAATTTCACTAACATTTTTAAACAAGTGAAATATTGATCTGGTTGAGAAATACAGCCATCCCAAAACCTATGACAAAGAGACAGTTTCCAGATATGCCTTCAGGATGAACTGAAATGTTTGATGCGTGCTCTACAGTAAAGTGAATGGTTTCCAACTGGCTTGAAGCAAAGATTACTTCATTGTACAAAATTTAGGTACCATGCAAACTTGCAATTTAACCAAACATTCATAAGTATCTCTTTTCATTCAATATCAAGTAAACTAACGAACAAAATGAAACGATATTGAAAACCTGCTCAGTTAACTTTAAAGAATGGTACATTCACTGTCAAATCGCAAAAATCTAGTGATTGTGGTGTCTCTACAATGCTCTTACCATATCAGGAAGTTCTTTTCGGACGGATTGGATGTCCAAGGCCTTCTGAGGTCCTCCATCAGGCGGCTTGGCATCCACCCCTTCAGTCTTCTCTGACCCCACCCCCTTTCCTGATCCGAACCCTGCTAAATTACTCTGCCTTCGCCTGGTGTTGGTCATGTCAATGTAGTCCTCTGAGGAGCATGCCGGTAGAGGCCGTGGGATGTGGTAGTTGTTGATGACTGACGGGGGCGGAGGATCTTTAGGGATCGGGGGGTGGACCATCGGTGCCTGGATTCTTTGTGACAGAAAGTTGTTTTGCGGGCGAGGGAAGATGTAGTTACTGGAGCCCACAGAAACTGCAGCCGATAATAAAGTTTCAAACCAAGAAATATCTGGCATAATTTTGTTGTGAAAGTGAATAACAAGTGTCTGATTTTGAAATTAGTCAAAATTTAACAGTTGCTTGAACACACAAGGCCAGAATGGCAAAACAGGTGCACCATTTCTTTACTGAATGTACATGTATGAAAGACAAATGCTGCGCTAGGGGTCATGTATAATTTGCAAGAAGTAAAATTGAAATACGTAGAATCTTACCTGGAGGTGATCTGTAAGTGCGGGCCAGAACATCTGTCAAGCTCTCTACCTCCTTGAGTCCAGGCTCTTCCTCTGGAATATCATCAGAACTTCTTGATTTCCTCTCCAAGCGATCCAGGCTCCTTGTACCTTGTCTCTCGTCGATCTCCTTGAGGGTTTCTGATCGGCTGGTGGAAGCAAGTGTGCCGCGGCGTTCTCTCAACTGCTGGGAGCTGGGGATCCTGCTGGACCAAGTGAAAGAATGGGCACTGCGACTGCGCGTCAGGGAACTGCTCCGGTTGTCATCTTTGAGAGCTGGCAGGGGCGGGAGTTCCCGCTCCGCCAGTGGTATGTTCTGCTGCACTGGCACACCCACACTGACCTGCTCCACTTCACTTAAGAACACTGAATCTCTCTGGGGGTTCATGATCTCGTATTCTGTTTCGCGGACGAGCTCCTTTGGTTTTGAGGGTTTGCATTGGGACACTGGGATTGGAGGAGCTGGTGGGAGTCTGCTTGGCAGATCGCTTAGATCATCATTGTTAAACCTACAAACAACATAGTCCCGAGAATCATCATCATCGTCATCATCATCGTAACTGTCTTCATCACTCTGTGATGCAAGTGTCTTGAGGGTTGACTCTTGTTGGATTATCCGACGGATGTCTTCAGGTGAAGCCCTTACAAGGTCCTCCATTCCATCGGCAGTACCCCTCCCTGAGTCCACCGATTGGCTAGTCAGTAAAGGAGGTCTCAAGGGCGTTTGAGCTTGAAGAAAAGGGTTTGTGGAATGTTGGTTGGGGATGATGACGTCTATGGTGTGGCCACGAGTCATTGGGTTTCTGACACCTTGAGCACCAAAATTCAAAGCTCCATTGATTTGTCGCTGGGTCGGTGGTGGCATGTAGCGTTCGTCTGCTTCTCCATCACTATCATTGCCTGCATTTGGGGCGTTGGAAGGGCTTGGTAGGGGGACTGGTCTTGGAGCGAAATCAGCAAGGTCCACTCTTTCCACTTCACTGTTGGCTCGAGACGTCGCTTGGTCCGAGGCGAAACCAGGGGACCTTGCTGGCATGCTCTGGCGATATTGAGGGTGCGAGGAAGAGGAGGGTACTCGTGGTGGTGGTAGGGGTCGGGGGAACTTGGCTGTGTTTCTGTTAGTCTGGTAGACGAGAAGACATGGAGAGACAAAAACAAGACACGCAATGTGACAGGATTAGCCAGGTCATGCTACGATTGAGGTTACCAAGAGGACACTGAGCGTCAGCATTCACATACTTCCATCTTACTTTGTCAAAAGAGAAGTTTTATTCCCTTTTTTCCCTTCATTTCTTCAAAGCAACTTTTTTTCCATACCTGTACGTATTTCTTTTATATTTTACAATCTGACCAGTGAGCTGAAGCTATTGACTTCTGTTCAATGACAGAAAACAAACCTCTACCCCTGGCTATATAAACAAGGTGTGGCAAACTTCATGCATGGTAAGTGCATCACTACTGTGTCTGTAACGTGGGACTGCTACGTCGGTGGCCTCTGCCAACAGAAGCCTAACCCTTCTGATGGCTTGCCTAAAATACATGCATGTGAAAATGTAATACAGTGTAATCATGAAAAGGCTCTACGACACTGAGATTCCCAAGAAAAAAAATCAAGGTGCATTCTTTGATGTGAAAATCCGTGACAAATAACAAGCAGGGCATCGTGCATACATGTACATGCATTACCGAAATGAGACGACAAAAAGCGACGTGAAAATATTTCCACCATTTCACTAACACAGAAATATATGAATGCTAACGTCTCTTTAAAAGAGTTGTGAATACATCAAAATTATCCTCATTGAAATAAGTAAAAACTGTAAGTGGCATTGTGAGTTTTCCAGTGATTCCATAACATTAAAAGTGTTCTCTTTAAGCAAGAAAGTTTAAATAACAGATCAGATCATAAAATAAGTACGTAAAAGGAATACACAGAAACGTAAAACAACAGAAGGTTGAAATTAAAGGAATGTGATTTCAGGAAATACAGAAAAGAAAATTGAACAGGATGAAAACAATCATGCAATCATGAGGCATAAATCAGCATAAATTTGCAAATGCTTTTCCAGCAGCATTTCCGTTTACAACTCTTTCAAACATGCAACAGAAGACTTCAAACCAAACTGTTTCAATAAATAGAACTTGTTTAAAGTCCGCGCACAAGAAATGGAAGGAATTAATACTACTGGAAAGTTAATAAACAGTAACAAATAAATTGTGAGAGTAATAAACCAAACACTACACAGACATCATTTTTGAACAATCTAGAAACTGAGGATACATTTTGTCCAAGTATACATGTATGTATGTATGTATGTATTGCATCAGCAGCCATCTTAGGGTCCATGAATGTATCTGAATCAGCTCCCTGTTGGCTACTGCTTTAGATTACAAATACATGTACTCCGTAGGTACAATGGACACTGACGTGCAACAGTAAGAATCCATAGCCATAGGCAAAAGTACATTTAAGATACATTACCATGACAAGGTTAACAGATTGGTCACCCAATCAACAAGGCAAACCAAATAACATTTTTACACAGCACTTAGGGTGCTAAACTAAGATGGCTGCCTGTGGAAACATTTACTCATAAACAGCACACAGAGAAAACTGCAACTGAGAACAAACCACGGATATTAACTCTGACTTCTGAACTGGTTCAAATGTTAAACACTACCAGTTTTCTCTGCTTACTTTAACAGATTAGTACAAAACAATTAAGAAACGTACACGTGATAATTGACAATGAGGGTACAAAGTAAGGGTTGAAATCATAGATGTATTATCTCATCATTCTATTAACAAAATTAAAACAGTATCACAGAATTAGAAATTTATTAAAGTTTCAGGGAAACAATTTACACATTCAAGTTGACATTCAAAATGTGACAGATATTCATAAAACCAAATCATGTAGATGGTGTCACAGTCAACAGTGTTATTAAAAATATATAATGAAGAAAGGAAAGGAGGTTGGCAGTGAACATGGTCAACGAGTCATTCAAGTGAGTTGCCCCACATTAATAAGGTCAAACAGCCAATGAGGGTTGAGAGGGATGGGTTTGTACACATGTTGAGGGGCCACCACAAAATGAGGAAGAATATATAATGAATGACAAACCGTTCCACACAGAATGGCCCACATGGATTGGCATGGGTCAGATGCCAAACAGCCAATTGGAAGAGAGGGAGTAGAAAATTGAATGTGCAGATTCAGGGGCCATCCAGACGCAGGCATTATCAGTTCAAAAGGAATGCGACGAGATAGGGGGACGAAAGAGGAGAAATGGGGAGATAAAGTCAGAGATGCATCGAATCAAATGCAGAGAATTAAATGCAAACTTGCAAACACCAATAAATTAATCAAACTCAAACTACCGTACTCCCTCTTTGCATGCTGCCGCCGTAGGCACGCAGAGCCTCAATCTGGTAGCTTTACACAATAAACATAGCCGGTTCAGTGATTCTCGTGTATGTTGTGCAAGTTTGCACCTGCTGCGCATCCATGCAAGTGGGCAAAGCGATTCTGATGAACAAGCTGCAATTCCAGGGCTCTGCATGCCTATGGCAGCGGCATACAAAGAGTGAATAGTCACTTATGGATATCTGAGGTACACATGTTTCTGAGCGTTATCTAGGAGTTATAAGCTATTTGTACATGTACTTGCATGTTTTCTACACAAAATCTATTCAGCATGCACAGGCTGTAATGGCTACACCCTCAATCCCTGGGGGTATATGGGTAATTCCAGAAGTTAGGAGTCCAGTTTTTTCTTTCATGTCCCTGTCACATCTGACATATTTTTTAAGTTCACAACACATTTTTTAATTTCCAAGAGTGATGAATTAATGCAAATTACCTGCCAAACAAACAGTAATAATTTGAAATCGATTCCAGTGATATTTCCTTGTCAAATAACAAAGGTCAGATGTACAAATGTAACAAGGACACAAAAATGTCACACTTTTGGACCCCTGATTTATGGAATTACCCATATCCATTAATGTGAGTGTAATTTTACAATGCTGCTAAGAAGGCACAAAAGATTTCTCCAAAAGCCGTACAAGCCAGCGATCTGCGATACAAATTGGGACCGCCTAAGTAACATGCTTTGACTCACATGCCCCCCAAAAATACACTGACTTGAAATGCTGATGGTGCTCTGATTAAAACCTACTGAACAATCTATAAACCACTCAAGTCAACAAAATAGAAATCGAACCAGTACCAATATATAATGTGCCTTTTGAAAAAAAACCTTCACAATGTGGGCAACAATAATAATTATATTTTACAAGAGTGAAACCATGATGAAAGAACCAAGATACAGTGCCGAAATGCAACACAAAACTGCCAGTCATAAACCATATTTTTTTGCTCAAAATAAAATAACCCCAAGAGCTTCCCAACTAAATAATTTTTCCCAAACTCAATACAAAATTATAATGTGCATTTATGATGCCGCATTACATACAGAGCAAAATGCATAAAGACGAGTTGAAGGGAGTATGCACATGAACGTCAAGCTTTTAGCTTTTAGAACACAACCATAAACTTTTCATTAACTTGTCCCATTTTTATGGGTTTCCATTTGTTCACTTTTTGTTTTTACAAGTCAAAAACATGAATTACACACTCCCCCAAAGTAAAACAAACTGCTACAATTAACGCCTCTAGTTGGCCATGTCGTATCACAAACCTTTCCTTCCATTTCTGCTTAATTTGATAATTTGTTTCCCATAGATTTATCTGAAAGAAACGTGTTTTTGAGGCAACTGGAAAAGGAAGTTCATTTACAGAGTTCAATAGCAACTCTACTATTTTAAATAGGTTTTTTGGGTTAATTTTCATTTAAAAAAAATCTCAAGTAACGTTTCAGCATTACAGTCATTTCAGGAAAACACCATCAATGAACTATCTACACGTATACCAGTTTCGTCTGAGATCGACATGGACCCTAGGGCCTATTTCTAGAGGGCCTATTTCCACTTGATAAAGATTTATCGCATTCCTTACAACCATCTACCATCACTGATACTTCATTTAAAAACACAGGGATAACAAAAATTCCTCCAAAGAACAGTTAGCCAACAAGATCTGGACTCAAGACGCTGACTTAGATGTATCTTTATTTCCAATGGTTCCTTTGGGTATGTCAATTCCCCAAGTATCAATGACGCTGAGAATGCTGATTGAATGCAATAAACCTCTAGCCAACGACAGTGTATTAACCATGCCCTTCGACCTTGGTCTGAGCTCTCACCTGGTCTTCAGGTAGATCTGGAAGTGGGCGGGCCAAGGATACACCGAAGCCAACACCACTCTCACCCCCAACAAACTTGCCGGCCGTCTCTTCAGAGGAACTGTCCCCTTCAACGGTTCGCAATGAGATGTCAGCCGAGTGGTGCTTGACCAAGCTGGGTTCATTGTCCGAATCGCTAACATCGCTTGAGCCCCGACGCTTGATACGAGCTTCACCAACGGACCGTCGCACTCGCCTTGGCATATTTTTCTCTAAGCTCTGCAGAGTTTTTGGACTCAGTTTCACATCGATGGAAGACTGACTGTCGGGACTACCAAAGACTTTACTGTCCCCCTCTGGGGAATAGTTATTGTTCAACCCTTTTGGAGAATGGGTTATCCCAGTGGGACTGTGTAACACTATGTTAGCAGTGGATTTTACCACACTAGGCTGGGGAGGTTTCTGGGAGCGGGGACCACGAGGGGGAACCTTAGGAGGTGGAGGCTTTTTAGGGCTGGGGCTTTGGGGTGCTTGCCTGGGGGGTGGTGACGGGGCATCAAACCTGCTACGTAAGGCTTTCACACCAATATTAACCTCCATTTTGTCACCTGTGACCTCCACACCTTCATCCAACGGATCCCCTGGACCAAACTGTAGCTCTCTGGAATCTCTGTCAGAGGTGCTGTTTTGCCAACCGTCCTTGTTGCTTCCATCTGAACTATCCACAGAACTCATCCTTTCCAAGACACCAACATGCCTTCTAGAGGGACTAGCTGTCGGACTGCTACTTGCATCCAAAAATGGATTTGTGGATTTTCCTGGGGAGCCTACTGCCCTAGGAGGCGAAGAAACTGCTGGGCTCGCTCTGGGTGGCAGTGTGGGGGATCCACTGATCCTCCCTCCAATCAACTTTGCATAGACTTCTTCGGCTCTGGCTGTGGCAGTTGTTTCTTTAAGACTGCGACTCCGACCAAACTGACCCCTCCTCTTGGCAAGGTCTTCCACAGCTGGACCGGAGCTGGTGACCCGCATGCTCTTGCTCCGGCCAACCTCTTTGGCAGGAGGATATTGACTGACAAAGTTGGGTTTTGTCGGCATGGGATGGAGAACATCCTCAGGATCCGCCGATGTAGCATCAGACAGTTCCTCATACTCATTTGGGCTTGAGAAGTCCCCAGATGATACCTTCTGACTCAAACTCAAGGACGGCGGACTACATGTCCTCTCTGAGGACGACGAAGATGAGGTTGACATTGATGACACAAATGGCTGCCGCGACGACACCCCATCCAAAGCCGGCGAATTGGGACTAGACTTGGCCAAACTGCTGATGTCTATGTAATCATTCTCTGCCTTGGAAGGCGGCGATGTAGACAACCTCACAAAGTTCATCTCATCCTTTTTATCCTGCACACTGTTGGCCCTATTCAGGTTAACCCTCAGCCTGACTTCTGACCCTTCGCTTCTCCCGCAGCTATCGTCTGGTGAGTCCCTATCCCCACCTGTTGCGCCTTCACCTGTGGCCACAGCAGCTGGTGAGGTACCAGTTGATGCTGGTACCCGTCTGTACGTCTTGGCTGGATTGGATGGCGAATCCTTTATGATCATGTTGTGCAACGGAGTCATACTCTCTTCCCCTGACCCATCGGTGCCCACAGCACCACCTGCTGCAGCTTTCTTCTTAGACGAGGACCTCAGGACAGACACAACACCCCCTCGGGACATTTTCCCGCCCTCGGATCCGGAAGAGCTGGATAAATGGAGAGACCCAGGGCGAGGGGTATTACCTGTTGTGGACGAGGATGACAAGGAGCCACTGTCGCTGTTGGTGCCACCCACTTCCCAGTTCTTGTTTTTATCCTCCTTCGGCACTCTTTGCATCATTTTGCCATCTTGGATTTCCACTGTGTGTCTCCGATCGTCCCATTCACACATGAACTCATCCAGCAGTGATCCCATCTCCAAATTCTGAAAAATACCCGACATTTAGTAATAACCATAATAATCTGCAATTTGAAAAGGAAACAGGGCATGTTTTTCATGTTTTTCTAAGGGAGTTCAGGGGAGTAAATTTACTGGTGCACAATGCCTTCCTATTCTGCAGGAGTCAGGTATGAACTGTATGAATGTATACCAGTTCACTTTCATCTTGGTCTGCTGGGGCGTGTTTTGGCAACCCCTAACCAGAAACTTGTTTGTGACGTCAAAGCAATAACCAAGAACATGTTGGGAGGGGGAAGAAATGGTTACATCATCTTACAGCGGCTCAGTGGGTTTATTCAAAAAATATCTTAAAATACATCTTTTTATGAAATAGTTTAATAAATTTTTTATGGTTAGCGTTTCTGCAGAAACGTGGGTGTTATCCGACGACCACGTTAACACCCTTGCCGTTGATAGGTGTTGCTCCGGCACCACTGAAATTGCTTTTAGCACCTGTGGATGCGGGGAGCGACGCCGGTGGTGTTGGGGCGACACATTTTGGGTGCGGTCTTCTGGTGGCACGGGAAGTGTTGTTTTTGGCACCACAGTTTCGCATGTATCTTTGTATTATTTATGTATTATTTTAATTGTAATTTTATTCTTAACATATTAATATCGGTGTTAGTTTTATTGTCTTGTAAACGCCTTAGAGCCTTTTTGGATTAGGGTGCTTTGTAAGTACATGTATGGTGTAATAATAATAATAAAAATAATTACAGAGGCTAGCACAAGGGAGCAGATGACACTGTTGATGAAAATCTTTTTCACTCGGTATTCAGCATATTTCTCACTAGTGGTGCTCTCTCTTTTCCAGAAGAAAGTACCGGCATCTCTTTGATTCTCTGCTTGTAACAACACTTTTTAAAAGCCAAATTCACTTATTTGAGGGGCGACAAACACTATCTGTTTATTTTCCACCGTTTTGACCTGGCACCAAACCAACTCCAACCTTCGGTTCTCGTTCAGTCGGAACAATGATGTCACGGAGGCATAAGCTAATCGAGAGAATGCTTAACCAATGACCAAAGCTGAAACATGTTCATGGTTCAAGTCGCCAAAACACACCCCTGTTTGTTGGATGAATTAACACTGCCAACAATACACAGCAAAGAGTTTCGTTATCTGAAACCAGCCACTGACAAGGCAGCTCTATATAAGAGTCGCCCCACACCAAACATCACTTCAACTTCCTAAGAATTCATTCATTGACAAAGAGGGCTTCAATTTTTTAAGAGTCCTCTGCATAACCTAAACAATAGCATGGAGGACTTCATTTCTTTTTCCTTTCCTGACTTTAATTTTACAGATTAAAATTGTAGCCTTTGGGAATCACAAAGTGAACCGACCAATAATATCAACTTTCAAGCAGATTTTTTATCATTACTAAATGGTGTAAAGTAACGTCAACATACACGTAGCTGCACTGAAAGAGAGCTATAAAATATTTTACATCCAAAGAATTTCCTGTTGGATCTGCTGTATGTCTCATTTTGAAAATAACTTTCCTTTCATCTTCATGGATGTTATTACGAATTGTTTTTGTTTTCCATGCGACACAGTCACTCAAAAGCTTCCCCAGAGTGACTAAGCAACGTCTTCAGGTTTTTGATAGCACGTCTTTTCAAACGAAAAAAAATGACTTGAAATGGAATGAATTACTGTAACCAAATACTCAACCCGATCTCCAGGATTGAATGTAAGAACTATGCGTAGCTAAATGAAGTGTAACCGTACACCATGGGAAAATAATTTCACAAAGGCCGTGCAAGTTTCACGTTCACAGTGAAATTGGCAAAAATTACAGTTTTACAGTTACACCAGGTTACCGACCGATTTTGAGTTTAGTTGTTTTGGGAGGGGGCTAGGAAATCAAATTTGTCAGCTCAGAAAAAAAGGTTTTGGAAGTACTGAACAAAAATGCATTGCTCGCAAGCATACTTACCAAGGAGAGCTGGATCCGACCAAGGCAGCACAGCAAATGATGAGCGACAGGGAGAGAGAGAAAGAGAAAGAAACAAAATACAGAACGAAACAAAAATAAGTTTGCAGAGGGGCCAGAGGAAGCACCAAATATGGTTGTGGTTAGTGAGGTTTGGAAAAACAAAACCGTGCAACGAGGAACTCTGACCTGCTATCGAGGGGGGAAAGAGAAACAACGTGATAAATCTGTTTTAACGTTTACATGTGATGGCTTTCACTTTTTTTGATTGGTGTGTGGTGATGCCGTATTATTTTGCTTTCATTTTCTCAGAAATAAAAACAATTGGTACAATATATTTGACCTGAAACAAACAGTATCTACAAATATGTTAACATTTCTGCAGAACATTATAAAAACAAAACTGAATTGATGGGCATTTTGCAAAACTATTTCGCAGAATAGAAAAGTAAAAAAAGTTCTCTTTCATATTTTGAATAAATGTACATTTTCTTTGTAAGTAACAACAAAAGGTAATTCTGATTTAATGTTACGGTTATTGTAAAGGTAACTGTGTCACTTGACAAAAACAAATGGCCAAAGCAATTTCAAGATGGACGTCATGTGCATGCAACTCACAGAAAAGGAGTCTGGGGACGGCGGTCTCTCCATTTCGGCACTGAAGGAAGCGGTGGCCCCAGCTTCTATTGTGGCCCCAGCTTCCATTGTGGTCTCCGTCAGAGGGGAGATCTTGGGCTCCTCAGCGATCCTGGAATTGGCAGCTGCGGAGGCCAACACCTCCCTCTCCTTGGGTAAGACGGCCGGCAGCTCGCTGAGATCAGAGTCCAGCTCGTCCTGGTCGGCATGCAGCGGAGCCCCCGCACTGGCCAGTTCGGGCGTGCTGCTGGTCAGCTCACCGTTGGCCTTGAGGAGGGAGGACCGGGGTGGCAGGGACTGCACCGAGTGGCTCGGGGGCAAGGTGGCCGAGGAGCTGGCTCCGACGGGGACCTTCTGATCCGGGGGGTTAGTGCGGTAGGGGGAACGAGGTGGGGAACGGGTGGTGGAGGCTGAAGATGCCGATGAGACAGACGATGAACTACTCCAGGGCTGGCGGATCTTACTCTCCGAAGGTAGAGTCCGACTGCAAAATGAAAAACAAAAGCAGTAGTTGATTTCACCTGCATGAACACATCTTTGATGTCTCCTTCAGCAAAGACCAACTACCAGTAAATTTGTCATAACACAACTACAGAAATGTACACTTGGGGCTGGCAGTAATTTACTTCATGGGAGAGAATCTCCAGAGAATGGATTTGCTGCTGCATGCAAAAGTGAAAACTGAAGTACATACTGCATTTTCAATGCAATAAATACACCTGCCTTAATTAACTGATACTGTGCAATGTATTTCAGTTTCAGCGCCTATTCTTTGTGTGCAGTGAGCACTTCCAAGTACTGTCCGGTTGGCCAAGATTTCTTTACACATGTGCCTTGTCAACTGAAAGCTTTCACTTTCTACGATCACTGAGGTCAGAGTTTTGAACTCTGTTAAAGGTGCTGGTTCAAAGTTTGAGGCCCTGCCGTTGTCTGCCTATTTATGACTAATGAATATGAAGAACCATGCATGTCATGAATAATAATAATATCAAGCTAGCTGTGCAAGCAGATGCTGTCTACTACAAACTGACAAAGGGGCTGAAGGGGCTTACTAGTCTCCGCCGAATGTTGCGTCTCCCTGCACTGTGCCGTCTGGCCCCACATGGAATATATGCCGGGCCCCCATGGGCGTCCCAATGGCATCCGTTGTCAGCCGACTGCAAAAACAGGACAAAAATCAGAAGATTGGGTCACACAGGCGTCACAGGATCCGCTGGGTAATTTTTGTCTGGCATGATTACTGTACACTTTGAGACAAAATGGAAGTGTTTCCGAGACCACCTGTAAATGATTGTAGAGGAACTTATTGGAGTAAATGTGCTCAAGCATCACATTTTTTCTTCTGTGTTAGTCAAGTTGTACTCAACATAATCTCAATGTTGGAGCCCTCCTAAGTTCTTATTTCTCATTTCTTAAATCTCGGCATCATGCTTGTCTTTGGTTTTACCTGATTATTAAGTCCCTAATTTTAAAGACTCAGATTTTACAAATTTACAGACTACTGAGTTGTTAAAACAAAATAGTTCAATCCGCCCTGAACTGCAGTGCGCCCTCACCGGCAAAAGAAAGACAGGCTGGTACAAAGTTTTCCAACTGGGTTCTTGCACACATTCGGCGTGCATGCGAAGAACATACATTCCAGAATAAATTCATAGTGCGTGCTCAGCGTACTCCGTGTCGAATGCACATAAACTTGTGCGCCTATGCTGTGAGTTCATGCCAAAGGACTGTCAATTTCATGTCAAAACACGCCCTCTTGTGTCCCCGCTCGGAGTGGATATATTGCTTGCATATAACCTTTTCCAACTGTGTTGATAAAAGCTCACAAGACAACTGTTGGTCATTATGTAAATTTGGGGTCCAGAGTGTGACATTTTCTGTCCCTGTTACCTCTGACATGTATACCATTTGACAAGTTTGACAAGGGATGTATCACTGAAATTGATTTTTACTTATTTTTATTTGTTTAGCAGGTAGTTTATGCTGGTTATTCAGTCTTGGAAATGAAACAGTGAGTTCTAAACATTAACAATCAAATGCCAGACGTAACCGGGACGGGAAAAAAACGGACCCCAACCTTTTCCAGTTCACAACCCTTTAATTTTGTCTCTTTTTTCTTCACCACGAACTGCATTAACACAATCCTCAATAAAAAAATTTGCTCAAATGTGAGCCCTTGGCCTCATGTGCCCTATGTGAATAAGAACTTTCTTTTAAAATCTGCTCTTCATTACAAGCAAGATTACATATCTGTTAATATTGCATGATCAGACAATAAAATCAATGAAGGAAAAACAGCTGGCAAAAACTCAAGCAATATGAATGTGAGGCAAACAGTAGTCCATTTCCAGTCTGTGTGATTCATTTGGCACTGTGCAGTATCCAGCTTTACAGCTAGCACTTAAAGGTAAATTACTGTTCGCTGTTTCAATAACACACCTGGGTTTTTATCAAAAGAGATGGATACAAAAAATCAGAGTTGCAGATGAGGATTTTTTCTGGGTCCGGCATGTAAACGTATTACGGGGACAAGACAAGACAGGAAAGCCTATAAATGAAAGGTATTGTCCTGGTACCAAGGCTTCTTATAATAGGTAGGTGGGCTTGTCGAGTAAGTACCATCTTCTACATATGTACATGTACTGGGAATTATGGGAAAGGACTCAACCAAAGCATTAGAACTGACAGTGAACGTTTGATTTCAGCAAGCAAAACGATATCACAGATGAGTGTTACAATGAATTGTTTGAACGATCGCCAAGTTCGATGCTTTCTGATATTTACCCATTTTCCAAATTCTGTGAATTTTGTACAGTGTCAGAAAACAAGTGCCTGTTCACTTCCTTGTTACACAGGTCAGACAGACACACCAAATCTTTGACTGTTTCATGTCTGCATTATACAGGAGTGTGTTTTTTGTTTCATGATTATTCACGCAAGTTCTGCTGAGGACCTTCAGTGATGTAAAAATGTTGGGGAAAATGTTGTTTTTTGGGATGCTTCACCTTATTTTGAGCGTGAAGTTGTTTTGGGTCTTTTTTTGCCGCTGAAAACAGTTACGGAGTTGTCCACCTTCAAAAGTCACAGACAGCAGCCGTTTACTGAAGCATTTATACCACGAGACACCACTTGAAATTAAATGAAATCCCAGCCACAAAATTAGACCACATCACACTGGCTCTGAAAAATAAACCTGGCCATGTGAAAAAAAAATTAAAAATCAGCAAGGACAGATTTTAATACCAGATGACTGTGACGCCCGACAGGTGTCATCCTGTCAGTGTGATTCCCTGACTACGCATTCTTCTCAGTCACAGATTATGACTTTGACATCAACCACTATAAATGTAACCATTTCTACAAGTAACTAATACATTTCTAACAACCTCTAAGGTACGTGTCATCCTACATGCATGTACTTGTGAATCTGGCTTTTCAGAAATTCACCTGTGCGGGCCTCCAGACCAGAACATGCATCTTGTGACCGGGAAATCACTTAGTTTCTCATGTTACCGTACGCTGACATATACGTACCCATGCCAACTAGTGAGCAGAGGCCAGATGAGCCAAAGGCATGCAACCACACCAGAGAATGAGCATGAAAAGAGCAAACATGGATGGGAATGAATTAATACTACCAGAGAGATACGTTAAAGAAAACGGAACTGAGGACTTTTCATTCAACCAGCAGTCAATACTGTCGTACTATTGCATATAAGCAAAACAGTCCAAGTGACACCTTAATAACATCACACTGTCCCCCCAGAGTTCCATGAGATGCCCTTGGTTTAGCTACCCTCAAAGTTGACACTTTTCCGGAAAAGCTTTTTGAAGTGAATAATTCGCTCTGCATTTCGTTTCAAACCTAGTCTGCTGAGAAATAACAGCGATGTACCAGTAGATGTAAATGTCCCTAAGAGGGGATTTTCTTAAAAGTCCATTTTAGTCATCTGACAATTCTGCATTTTAATGGATTTCAACCATGGTCAGGTCATCGTTCCTTCTCAAACCTTGCTTTCAGATGACTAAATTGCTCATTGTTAATCAATGCACTTCAGAAGAAAAGTACAAAAATATTTAGAATTTGTTCAAAAAACTCTCAAGTTCTCCTGCCACACAGTTGACGCGCAGCTGACCACCTGAATCCACACACAACACAAATGTAAACGGTGTTAATCCCAACAGTCCCAAATCCTCCAATTACAATATGATTTTACATACGCCCTTGGAGGTTAGGTTAATTCAAAAAAACGTCTTTTTCGCAATTAACTAACCACGGCCGAAATCATGAAACTCAATCTCTCCAATACGTGGTTTTGCAAACAAAAAGTTCATCAATTGCAAAGCATGAGCAGTTTTTTTTTTCAATGGATGCAAAACTTGCTTGAAAGCATCAAAGCTGAAATGTGCCCAGCCATGTTTTAAATCAGCCATTTCAATCTTTGTTAAATGAGAAAATCAAGCAACCTAAGATCTCCACTTTGAGGAGCGCAAAATGTTTACCTTTTCCTTGCGTCTCTCTTGTCCGATCGGAACCCGCTCTTCCATCGGCGTAACCTACTCCCTCCAGCAGTACTGGTGCTGCCCAAGAGGGTTGTGTTGCATCGCAGGAAGGTTCCTATCTTACCACTGGCGAGGATACCGGTCCAGATCCCGGAATTTTCACTGATACAGAGGGAGTAAGAGACATCAACAGAACAAAATTTAGTTTTACAATGACTGGAGTTTACAACTGCAACAGTGGAATTTTCGTTTTTTTGGAGAAATGCCATATCTTTATCTTACTTTGCATCCAAGACAGTGATGATGTCATCTGCTCGGTATGCTAGCTCGCCATCTTTGGTAGGTTTGTAGTGTGTGATGGCTCGGACTTGAACCGGCTTGGCCTGAGGAAACACAATTTACCAGTAAAATGTTTGCAACACTATACCTGAATGAAGGCCATTTCAAGCAAATGTGAGATGAAAAGCAATCCGGCATCACAAAGTACACTCATGGCCAAATCTGCAGCCGTCAGGGGTGTGAGTGGCCACTTGAAACTAAAGCTGAAAACAGCTTGTAAACAGCTGAAATGTAAAAGGTTCCCATGCGTCTGTACGGACCAGGTGTACAAAAAAGCAGAGATTGAGGGTTAACATCTCAACAAAAAAAGCTGCACTCGGCTAAAAAGCTGAATTCTCACACCCTGAGCCATGGAAATGTTTTCAAGTTTTGCAGGCCCATAGCACAAATGTGTCACTAAATAACAAATCTATGTGTCGCTTCTGTGCCCAATACAAGCTGGCCTCAAAAAGTATGAGATCAAATGTCACTGTGGCAAACTGCAAGTGTACAGTATGGAATCATCCACAGAATCAAAAGGAAGCCAAGAGCTCTTTCAAAAAACTTTCTTTCGCTGACTTCATGCCGTAAGAGCAGTTCTTACCTTGGGCAGTTCTTCGCAAATCTCGGCAAAGCTTGGCCTTTTCTCAGGCTCATGTTTCCAGCACTTTAGAAGGATGTCATAGATCTTGACGGGACAGGCATCGGGTCTTTCCAGACGTTGTAATGCTGGCTTGTCTATTGCTTTTAAAATCTATTTCAAAAGCAAATGATTATTGTTGGCATAACAAGTTCATTTCTGAGTAATCCTCAATATGTACCAATGTGAATGAAAGTTGCTGTATAGTGCTAATACTTTTTTTTAATCTTTAGTACTCTGCATTTCAACTTCACACAAATTGGAATGCTGACGTAGATTTAACATTGGCCATGAACACTCTCTCTGCGATGTTTTACACCTCTGTGGACTTCAAGTTGGCAAAATATTCATGAATGACTCACAGAGAAGTATTTACTTAGCAATTCATGACACGGTAAGAAGTGTGTTCCTTATAGTTATAAATGCTGTCTGTCTGTGAATTTTCAGACTCTTGTGTCGCGACTTTTTTTGCCTCTCTACCTCTTCTCCGGTGTACGTGGCCCACGGTTGGCGCCCGTACGTAAACATCTCCCACATCGTCACGCCAAAACTCCAGACATCGCTGGCCTTTGTGAAGGTCAGCTTAGTTAGCGCTTCCACTGGCATCCTGTGAGAAACCAGTCAAAAGTGTGAGAGAGGCAGGATGATATCTCGGCTAAATTTCCTGGACTGACTAAGCAGAAACACTGCTCAGGCCACGTCCGAATCACTTGGCTGCTGCTTAAAATTACACCCGACTCTATGGGAACTAGCTGAGGTCAGGACTATAGACTCATGCCTAATTTCAGGTCACATCCAAGTAATTCAGACATGGCCTGCGTATATGACAAGCAAACAAAAACCGGAATTTTGACCAGTAACCTGTTTTTTTCTGACCTAATATTTTGTGTCAAGCACAGAGTTTTCACAGATATCTGAAAACCAAATTCCACAACCTTTCCAAGACTTTCAAGAATTAAAAATACCGGTATGACAATTTCCATGACATTTAATCCCATTTTGCCAAGAAACGTTGTTGGGTACCATGAAATGGAAGATTTTCATAGCCACTCCTACAGATTGTCAAGGATAGCCAGAAAATGTATCATTTTTCCTTTAACACATTAAAAGAGGCCCATCTAATATAACCCGTGCATGATCTTTGATTTCCTTGATTTTTTCCTCTAACAGGATTTCAGAACACTGTGTTTTTCCAGTTAGGCATGACTTTTCTATGGCATTCCTGGGCATCCTTTTTCCCGGATTTTTTTCCGGATTTTCCGTGACCGTGGGTCCCACAGCTTAGCAGATGAAAATTTTCCCAGGGGCCAAGCTTCTGCCTCAGTACCTCAGTTTTGTTTTTTCTATTTTTTTTTTTTTTGGGGGGGGAGAGCATGGTTACATGTGTAAGTTTGATCAATGACCAATTAGTCCACCACTGGTTGAGTTTGCCCCCCCCCCCCCGCAACAAGGACAGAAGGGTACCACAAAAAATTTGCAAGAGGCTGATAACTGATCAATGACTGAACGTGGCCTGGGTAATATCAGAAAAACCTTGTTCCGAAACAGCACACACGAGCAAGCAAGTGGGCGCGTGAAAACACAGTCAAACAATGCGCCATTCATTTATGACTCACTGTAGTGAATGGAGTCACGGTGAACATAAAAGAAAATTCTAAATACATGTACAACATCACTCAGATAGCCTTGCACGCAGCATCAGACTACACAAGCTTGAAACCGCTAAACAAATAAACACTAACAATGTTCACAACTTCACATGTTAACCACTCTTAGAAGTGAGGCTGACCACGATCAAACAAACAAATTTGAGGTACACTGAATTCTACTAATGTTTTTGACCTTGCAATCTCCATTTTACGTGGAAAATGTAGATTCCTCATCATGACATCCAGCCATACACTTTTGAATTACTGCTTTCCCAAATTTTGCTCCCCTCAATTCAGCTAAGACTGCTATTTCAAAATAACTGACCAAAAACTCTGACAATGGTTCTTGATCTCACCAAGCTAGTGGCAGCTTCAGGTTGGGTCTCATCTCGCTGCGGTAGTTCTCCCCAAGGATCAACCTCCGAGACAGCCCAAAGTCACTGATCTTGACTTTCTTAGTACCCTGAAAGATCAATCCAAGAAACAAACAAATAAGGATTTGTAGTTAAAAATGTCATTCTTAATAAAAGCGTACTGTGCCATCCTTCTGAGCAAGTTAATAACAAGGCTGGAGGGTCTGCCAATTTCGTAGAGCTGCTTAAGCACAAAATTTGCTTAAACATGGAAAAAATCCTTACTTGATAAATCAGGTTACCAGCCAATACTCCATGTGATGTATATTGTTGTGGAATGGTATTCACCTGTCTTTTGGTTAGCATGACAATCACTTAAATTTTAAGCTGGTAACCTTTGTTTTTTTTAAGCAAGGTGTTTTTACGCTTAAGCAAACTTTGTACTCTATGAATTGGCCCCACCTGGTCTACTGTACTAAAGGATACTGAATGTTCGGTTCAAAGCATAGGCTGATGTGGATTCTTAACTTAAGAACACAGCATTGATATTGGTGGGGACTCACATCATCATCCACGAACAGCAAGATGTTCCTGGTGGCTAGGTCTCGATGGATGATGTTGGACAGGTGGAGGTACCTCATGGCGTCGGCGATCTGCCCGGCGAACTCCAGCAGGAGGGTGATGGGGAAGGAGGGGCGCAGGGTGGGCTGCTTGATGTTCTCCAGGAGGGATCGTAGGGCAGCAAACTCCGTCACCTGTCGGAGGGGGCAGAGGGTAATCAATGCAAAACTAAAATGCCCAGCACGTTAGGACAGAATGACCATGACATAAATGATCAGCATGTTACCCCTTTCTGCTCAGCAAACAAATTCTTTTCTTAGAAGTTGTTTGAAATTGACCCCAGTGACCACAAATGGTGTGTTTCCAAACTGAGGCTCAAAAACGATCTGACCTCATCACATGCTGCTTCTGTGCCAAGTACAGGAGCTGCTTACAGTATCTATCATGTGTAAATGGCTACGGCTTTATTTGATCGGGTTCCTTAGCTCAGGAATTTTTCTGAGTACAGAAATTACCTTGTCTACCAGCAAAAAGTCACGGTATGAATCTTTAAGTCGACTGCCGCTCAGTTTTTTTTTGCTTGGTGCATTAGACTGCTGTGCATGATTCTCTACTTCCGAAAAAACTTAAATGACGACTATTTGTCATCCATTGGTCCATTTCACCTGGTACCCTGGACAAATTTTGTAAACAATTACCATGGAAAGTGGGCACTGAGCTTTCCTTAGCAGCTCCATGGAATACAGTCAATTCACAACAGTTTGCCTCCAAGAGTTTGAAGGTGTTGACCAATCACAATGCTTGAAATATTGCGACCCATTCTAAGAGCACAATGGGTTCGACAGATTTCAAGCAGCTGTGACTGGTCAAGGCATTGGAGGCGCACTTTTGTGAACTGCCCGTATTCTGTCCTACATGTAGTTGCAATGCAAACAGGCAGCAGCACCTACCGGTAACTACCCCCTTTCCCGTCTGCTCCTATCGTCGGTAAATCTTACTGGTACCAATAAAGTGGTTTGCACTTAAAAAAGATTTATTTCCCTTTTTCTCCTTCCTTCCAGCATCCTCCTTTCAACTCACCAGCATCAACGATGTATCCACGTCCAGAACCACTCCAAACAGCTTGACCAGATTGTCGTGATTCAGCGAGTACATGATGGCTGCCTCCTTGACAAAGTCTTGCGCTTTGTCAGCTGACAGCTTCTCCGGGCTCAGGCACTTGACTGCTACTTGAATCTGCAGACGAGATGAGGAGATGGAAACGAGATGAGTCGACGTGATTAGGTGAGTGGGAAGAGAGGGGTAGTGACTATAATAGCCCTTGTCGGCAAATATCATTTAACGTTAAAATGTGAAATCTTTTAATTTCAATTTACAACCACAGAGAATGTCACAGGAAAGCTAAATGAAAGGAATGTGAAGAAAACTCAACTTCGTCAACCAAGGACAATAACACTTTGAAGTTACCCTCATTATTACAACCTTTGGTGCAATGTTCCTTTTACAAACGGGCTTTGACATGTACAAGATTATGTGCGTGTACACGTATTCAACACTGGACACTGGACACATAATGGTGCCTCTGAATTTTGTAATGGAAGAACCTATTTCGAAATTTGATGAATCATGAAAGAAAAGAGAAAATTCATTTAAGGTACACGTACTTTGTAGGAAATATCCAAATAGAAGTTTAAAAATAAGATCTCCAAAAACAGTGTAACAATTTTAACATATCTAAGCAATGTTATAATGTGCTTGCCAGGAATCATACTCTCTTGAGACATTTACAGGTAAATCAAGCAAATCCTTTTACTCCAGCCACACGTACTATATAAAAATTTGGGAAGAAGTCAATTCTCAAAAAAGTACACTGCCCTGATGGCCCCCATATACAGATACTGAATTTTTCCTGCAGGCACTTGGGCTATTCTGGGAAATGCCAAAGCCGGATGAACTCTCACAGCACACAATTCAACAAAATCGCCAACGTTTTCTCAACGGACGACACAACAAACTCAAAGGACTCTTTTCAAACCATCAAAAACTTAGAGCCTTTGAAAACTTTGTGTTCAATACACCTGTACTAATCACTGAAAAAAAGTCTCAATTCAACTCAAGGTTGCTGTTTTTCAAACTCGCTCCTCTGGAATGGTGATCAGCAGCGTGCAACCAGAAGATCTACCGGCTTACTGAAGCTTTTTTGTTATTATTTTGGACATTTTATTTATACATGTACATGCAGCATATTACATATACATTAATGCATGCATATGCAAAAAGTACAGAACTTCAAGGCACTTTGTACATGTACATTATTACAACAGCAGTTAAAATATGACAAAGGGTTCGACAAAATCACAAGCAATTCACCAATTAAACAAACAAAATGCATAAGTAAATGTACATGTACAGTACCAGTATTTTTGAAAACATGTAATTGATACCTGCAGCTGGTTCAGGTGTGTTTGCTTATGGAAGTCAAGTGTTACGTAACCCTTACAATCTTAAAGCAGGGTGATAGAATTTGCATGTACGGTAGTGGTACATGCACCAGAAGGGAATATTTCCTTGAACCATGGACGCGTTCTTTGCAGTGCAGTATCTGCAAAAAGAAAACAAATGGATGCCTTTCTCCAAGGTCTGAAAACCATTTTCCCTCGGATCTTCCTCTACCAACATGTCCAAGTACCGGTAAATAAATAATATTGTTGGTTTACAGTGCAACCAAAAATGAGGCATTATAGCCATTGGCATGAATGAACATGGTCTGTGTAGAAATGAAGGCCACTCTGAATTCCTTGAAACAACATGTCTCTAACTTCTGCATAATCTGGGTATGGAACTCCACGTGCAGAAGGAAAAAGGCAAAGTGTTTACGATAAAAACTGGTCAAAATTTAGGTACATGTACAGTAAGGCCCAACGGTGGCTACTGAACCAGTTCTACAAGTATAAAAAAGCAAAGCCAGTCTACAAGATTGTACATGTAGACATGGTTCCATTGTAACACAGCTAAAACCGGGCATGGATTTCCACGACTTTAGTGGGCAGTCACGGTAGTCATTTGTTATCACTGCAGTAGTCACAGTGACATAAACAGGGACAGGTGTCTATGGCTTTTGGAATGGACTACGTAAGTACTCTTCAACTAAAAATACTGCTTCCATTGCAATGGCCAACAAAAATGATGTGTGAATGCCACGTACATGTACAGTACTGGTACACGGTACATGTTCCCTCTGTACTGCAGTCAAGAGCAGGCATACACAATGTCTCTCCAGCTCTCCTGTGGTCCCTTTTTCACCACGAAAAATGGTGGGGTTTTTTTTTCTACTGCAGAAAGCTTGTTTTTCACAGGTTGACAGGTGCCACTACACAAGAACATCATCATAAACATACATGTACATACAGGCTACAACACTAGTGGGGTCGTCTTTTCTCAATTGTTTGGCTCGGCGAGCAGGGTTTCAGCATTCGTTGATGAGAAGCACTCACCGTGTGAGTGTAAATACCCATCTGAATAGAACCAACATGCCAGAGGTTTTTAGGCACGCAATGCTTCATAATAAATCCGGACGACAAAAAAAAGAGCGCGCATGAAAAAAGGTTAGGTTTGTCATCTTTGCAATGCGAGCTCAAAAGAGCACAGGAGGGTACATCTATTCATGCCTTCTGTACACATGTGTGGTCGCTCAACCGTGGAAACAATTTATGGGCGTGTTTAAAGAAACTGTCTCTCCAGTATCTTCTTCCCCGTAGTCTATGAGATTTTCCAGTTTTGGGGGTTTTCTCAGGCAGATCCTTTTTACATCTTCAACTAGCCATGTGTGGACTAGTTTTCTTTTTTTCTTTTTTGTTCATATTTAGACATCCTCAGATGCAGGTTTTGCTGATAAGTTACATGTAAAGGTATATGCTTAAGAACTTTACATGTAACTTACATGTACTTACTGGTACTTCTGAAGGAATTTTACAAATTTGAGCTCCCCCTTACTAAATCCCTGAACTTGACACCCAGCCTATTCCCTTTATGTCACTGCCAAACTTTAAACTTAAGCTTGACCAATTCAGGCACGTTTTAGCCTTTTAGCCAGCAGTTCCAACTCCCGGGCAGTTTTCTCAGTTCACAGTCTCTTTAAAGCTCTCAGATTTTTAGATTGGCTCATTTGTGGTTTGATCCCGACACAAAGAGGGGTGCACACCTTGTTCATTATTGAGACATCAGTCACGACGCAGGTGGCGATTACTGGCAAATCGCTGAATGAATTTCTGGCCAACTAATGCAGGAAAGTAACAGGCATTCAAACATTTCATTCACAACATGGGGGGGAGGAGAAAATCAACAACGTGCCTTCATTTACGAAAAGTCATGCCTGTCTGCCCATATCAAAATACAAAGTGACAAACGGTTCAAACTGCTCTTAACCACAAATACTGGGAAAAGAACTGAGCCGAAAAGGGGCCACCGCTCAATAATGACCCAAACAGAGGACTCATTCCTTTCAAATTAAATTTCCTCCCCGTTCGAGGGCACTGGATAATGAAGTTATCAAAAATGATCTGTCAACTTCAATCTTACCGGGAAGGGAAGGAGATAACCTCCCATACCCTAGTAAATGTCTGAGAAGCATAATTAATTCACATACATGTACACGTACAACGGACACGTACAGTACAACACGTACACTACATGAGTCCAGAAAAATGTACGTGTATGGTGAACCTGAGTTCATACATTACACAGGCCCAACTCCTTTCTCTTCCCAATTAATGAAGATCCTAAAATCCAGGTTCATAATGATACAGTACCCCGTACATCCACAGGTTTTTTTATTATTTCCCCTGATGTACGTGTATATCTTTCATCAAACAGAATGAAAGACACTTGTAATCATTCTCAAGTTTACAATCAACACAAATAAATGAAGAGTTCATCTCGAAAAAAATGAACTATGGAACAGCTCCTTTAAAGCACTCCAAATTACAATTATGTGTCAAGGACATGAACAACAGAGGAGTAATTGGATAAATTCCATGTGGGTGAGTCAAGCCAAAAGCCAACAAACCATGGAAATCCTAGTCAGTTGCAAAGAACAAAAACAAAGATGTTACATGTATGGCCACTGACTTGTGCCTCCACAACTACTGGTGGATATGTGCTCTAATCTCACACGTACGTATGATACATGTACTGTACATGTACATGTACATGCAAGTCTGAATTTACCCCATAGGCCGGCATTGCCCAAGCTTAGGTTGTTACTGACAAAGCCCAAACAAAACCAATGAGGAACACATAAGGTCAGCCCTACATGCACATGTACAGTTATGTCGGTACATGTACATGTGCGTGAATAGTACGAACAAAAGTTGGCTGAAACGGTTGTCTTGTTTCCCTCACTAATTTCTTGCCGTTTTACTTTCAGTTCCTTAGTTTCTGTTCATTCTGAGAGCAGCGAGAGTTTGAATTCTGGCAGATCGATGAAGCTTTCCAAGAAAGCAAAATTTGTTTTCAATCAGTCAGGGAAAATGCTAAGGACTTCATGACATACATGTACAGGGTCTCAATTTGGTTTCCAGTGTTTAATCCCTTGAGAATGTGAGAAAAAACTTCACAGAAACAGACACTGAGTCAATGTTGAAAGAAACATACGGTTACTCTTGGCATCAGGACAAATATGGTACTTCTGAATAGTATCTCAGTCTGTATGAATGTCCAATACATTAGTAATATTTGGCATATTCTTGGAGTGAGTCTACCGAGGCATGCATGTGAGTAGGGAATTGAAGATGGTCTCACGCAGACAGGATGTGGCAAGATTTACACGAACCGTTTAATGGCTTTGGCACGCCTGTATCTCTCACTTTGGCGGTACTCAAGATAATGGGCTGACAGACGTGGAGAGCTTCATTTTTCGCTTGATAATCTAGTCATATCTACAAGCACGCACTTCATTTTACAGATATCAAAAGATGACTCCTTTTTTCACTTGTGTTGCTAGTACAATAAACTTTTAAATAAAAAGGAGACAATGTTTATGATATGAGAAACTCTCACAAATTTTCGTATGATTTCACGTTCATTATATTTTCAAAGACTTTGGGGGAATTCTTCTACCTGTGTCACACAGTACAAACATCCAATGTATACATGTACATGTAAACCTCCTGACCACAGCCTGCAGCCCACAAACCATTAAACTAAACAATTACTTCATTGTGTGCTTGAGATATTAAAGATACTGAAATTTCATCCTGACAAATCCCTCTGGGGCCCATACCCAGGCTTGGCAGGCCCTAGTTTCTCTTTAACTGGCCACACACACACACACTCTCTATGGAATGGTAAGATGATATGGCATACATTGTACATGTGCTTGGCATTTTGTGGATTTGGATTTTTAAGCTCAGGAGACACAGATCATGCACGTGTACATGTATGTAGGCTTTAACAATTAAGAGCTTGGACTGGAACTTGTCCCTGCTGGAGCTGAAACAATGGACCTTTCTCATGAAATATGCAAATTAGACGGGTGCATGCACGCTACTACCACTGGTTGGCAAGCGCGGCCGTCAACGCTGTCGGCAGTGTAGGCGAGCTGCTAGTAACCATAACCTGGAGCGTTGACGGTCAATCAAAACCATATTACAGCCTTTGTCCGATACTTGAGCACGCTTTTCTCGAAACGAAGTGAAGTTTTCAGTGTCCTGAGGTTAGAAAGTAACAATTCCTTGTCTTTAAGTTTGGCACTCGTGTCGAACTATACAAGTACAAAAACGGCAATAGTGGCGTGCACATAAGAATTTGTATCGTTACATTATAGATTTAAGCAACTTTGCCAACTAGTGGTAGTAATGCGCCTGCCTTTTCATGGGAAAGGTCCATTACCAGTGCATGTACTCAGGATATTTACGTATGCTTCATTAATCACTGTGTTGTTTGAGATTGCTTTTTCTTTCTTGTTCAACTGACCAAAAAAAAAACTACATCGGCAAAAAAGAAAACTTCCCTCACTGAATAAATCCACACATCAAAATCCTTCGAAAGTTCACACCCTTCTCCAATGTTCAATGGGGGCAACAAAACATTTTATTTCCCTAGTCTTGGCTGCTGAAAGTAACGGTAGAATGAAAACTCAACATTTGCAGCAATACCGGTACTAGTAGCAGGGGGTGTGAGAATTCAGCTTTTTAGCTGATTTCAGCTTTTTTTTTAGATGTTGACCCTGAATTTCAGCTTTTTTCAAATAGGCCTACCTGATCTGTACAAAAGAACAGGAAATTTTTACATTTCAGCTTTTCTTAGCTGTTTTCAGCTTTAATTTGAAATGGCCACTCACACCCCTGTAGGCCGTAGTAACATAAACCTTCATTCCATCATTTTTCTGGGAAAAAAAAAAAGCTTGAGCTCTTTCAAAAACACAGAAAATGAAACTGTACCAGTATATTCAATGCTTCATTTGCACAAGTGACTTCACGTCTGATGGCAAACAAGGAAGTGTGCTTGAGATTTGCAGGAACAAATAGTAGTCTTTGTTTCAGTGGTAAGTGAACCTATCATAAGGACGAAATCCTTTTGCTGAACAAAGACTAAGATTTACCCAAATTAGCGCAATGTGGAGACAAGACCACTGTCTGTGATTACTTTTCCAGTCTTTCTGGCCATCTGCATCAAATTTCAAAAACATCCACTTTTCTCAGGGCTAAACAAAGTTTGACATTCTTATGTTTATGTTTGTATTTTTACTTGGCAATATCTGGATTATACACAAGTAATGGTACCTGTGGAATCCGTCAGCCAGCGGCTTGCTGCAGTACCCATAAACACATGTCATTCTGACCCATAGCCAAGTCATTTGTAGCAAACCTTACCTTCTGGCCATCTTTGTCAGTCCATATCCCCTGCATCACCTTGCCAAACTCCCCTCTGCCCAGTTCCCGGTCCAGGATGTTGATAGCTGAGGCCGGGATGATGTGACCCCCTGAGGGTGAGCTCGTCTGCGAGGGCACCCTGACGATGGTGGGTTTGGTCTTGGATACCTTGGCATTCTTCTGAAATCAAAGGAAAACCCCCTTTGCATGCTTTGGCTCACAGTATTTCACCAAATTCTGTAGCAGACACAGATTTAGGGTGGGGCTAAATTAATTAAGGTATACTCTTCTGACTTTAGTTGGACATAAATATAGCTCACCATTGATACCGTAGTTCAGGCAGTCTGTTGATTTACAGAATGAAAAACAAGTGAATGGGAACCTCAGGCTACCCAGCATTACCAGTAGGATCACAACAAAAAAAATGCAGTCACTTGGTAATATTACAGCAAAGTAGATGGGACTTTGTGCGGTTCTCAAATGGTGCATAATTTATACCACAACAGTTCCAGGAACAATGCAGGATGTTATGTTCTGCAGCAAACACGAATTTCAGAGTTCCGCAAACAGCAAAACCATAAGGGCTCCTTTAAAATTTGTGGGAACTGGATGACTCACAGATGTCACCTAACCACATCAATCTGGTTCCTGCCCCAAGGCAATGATGTTATTAACTGGGATAGGTTATTCCCATTATCCAATAGAAGACAAGGTCAAATCACTCTCCCTCCCCCCCCCATCACACCAAATCCTAAATCTAGCAAATGGGGTGCTCACTTTGTCCCCTGTGAACTCTCAGGGAACACTTTGCAATAAGGGGCTGTTTGTTTTTCTTTCTGGAGGTGTACCTACCAGCCGATTTTTCCAAGTTTAAAGTTCATTTTCCCAAATGAACTTTAAAGCTACATGTAGAGCCATCAAGAATCGTTAGACCTTCGTGTTCATACTGAACTTGACTTTTATTGAGCAAACTTTCTGCAATAGGTATAACTTTGCAACATGTCTATACCTCGGCACATCTGTAATTGGAAGAACTGCCCAACATGACATGTAGAATGTTACCACTGCTTTTTTTTCAAAAACTGTTGACATCTGACACCAGATGTGTTCTAGAAAAAAAAAACGATGTACATACATGTACATGTAAACTTAAGTTCTATCTAGCCCAGAAAATTGGACTGTACAGCAGCTTTACGACTGACCAGACAACCTTTTCAGAAGTCACATGGCCATCAGACACTGTCTACGAGGGCCTTTTCAGGACTTGAAACTGACAGTGCAACTTTCTCTGCAACCCAGTTATCTTACCAGGGATCAACTACTTGCAGCACTCACTGAATCCTTGCTAAAACCAAGCAGACAATGGAAGCGAGAGAAGACAAGGAAGGAGGAAGTGTCAAAGAGTTTCAAAAAGGGGAGGGGAATACCCCAGAAAAGGATTCCCCCCCCCCAAAAAAAACCCACATACACAATGAAAACAAATTTTCACATCTTGGGTTTTCAAGACAAAGACTGTTTCCTAAACCTTGGCATTATCTGAAGCCTCGGATTCTGGCTTTTAAGTTTTGAACTTAGTCCCTTGTTAGACTGCCGACAGTTTGATGACGTTCTGTTTCACTCAGTGGCAAAAGCTTGAAGCACTGGTACATTTTGCACAATAAACTTTGGAAAATGACTCTGAAATAAAATTGAAGATCTAGAGATGAAGCAAAAAGCCCAGGCATGCATGTACCAAAGGCTACATTTAGCAATGTGCATTTAAGTCAGGCCAAGATGGCTGCCAACCAACAACTTGCCATGCCCACTGTATCCCCAAGCACTCACCCCAGGCTTGAATTTGCCCTTCTTAACTTTCTTCATGGACGCCCGTAGCCGCCGCCACTCGGGCTGAGTCATGCCCAGCTGCAGCACATCGTCGGTCTGGACGTAGGCGAGGTGATCGATGGCGGTCACCCCGAGCTTGCTGACAAAGTCCTGGTGGTACTGCTGCAGGCCCACTTCGCTCAGGAACTCATAGAGGGTGCCTTCGTAAGGCATGGTGGGGGAACCCTTAGCATGTCAGCCACTCAAGACCTGCTGGATTTAAGAGAGAAACACAAAGATGACTCACATTAGGTACTAAACAAGATGAAAAAAGTGGAATTTGCCCTGCTTTTTCTTGGCAATGTGGTTAAGTAGGGCCATCTCCAAATATGGCCTTGTAGAGACGTCTTTGGCTTCAGGCCTGGGGCTAATTTCATACAGCAGCTTAAGCACAAAAGTTTCTTAAGCGTGAAAAAAATTCCTTACAAAAGGAAAGGTTACCCGCCTGATTGTCACGCTAACCAAAAGACGGCTAAAGACCATCCCAAAACAATAGGGCCTATACGTCACATGGAGGTTTGGCTGGTTACCTGATTTATCGAGCAAGATTTCCTTTCGTTTAAGAAAATTTTTTTGTGTTAAAGCAGCTTAAGACTTTCGAGATAATCAAGACTGTTGGGTTAACTATCATGACCAAGTTAGGATACAAGGATGCCAATCCTAAAACAATGACCAAAAAAACTGAGTCGAATAGTTCTGCTTCATGCATTTCTATGCACCATCTTATCTTGTGAGGTATACATGTACATGTGAATCATAATACACAAACTTCTTTTTATACAAAAATGTTACACTGACGTAAACAGGCTCTTTGCTTTTTTCCCCATCCTAAGCTACAAGGCTGTTCAATTTATAAGGACTGTTTTTTACTACACCCCTTGGGGTTTTTAGGTTGATGGAAATGTCAGATCCTTGGTCCTCAAGCCAGTTGAGAGACAGCATACACGTACATGTATATCACAGAAAATGCGCACGTTCCACATTCAACTTTATGCCTAGTAAATACCAGTACAAATCAGATTTCGTCCAGAGTCTTCAGGCTAAACGACATGTACAGTAGATCACACCAATGTCTAAAAACCCAGTACATGTATACCGGTACATGTACTGGTATGCTTCTTTTCCCTAAACAATTTTCAGTTGGTTTTACTTTTGCTCATCATAGTCTGTTGAGTTGGCCTACAAAGCTGAAAGGCTACGGCAATAAAAAAAAAACACAGGGCAATCATTTCCAATTCACCAGCCAACTCGACAATTTCAAACCCTCTGTCCCATTTTCACAATTTTTTTCAAAGGAGGTCATTTGTCCAGGAACTCAGATGTCAAAAGAGGTGTCTGGACCCAACACCTTCCCCTGGGGAATGTTTAGACTAATGGTAATTTTGTCTCCCCCCTCCAGGGTGCATATCAGGGGGTATGGCAGGGCAAGCTCTACAAGGCCCCCCTTGTAAATTGTCTGTTGCCTATTTAATAAAGCCAGACGTTGCAACTAACTAAGCACTCTCAAGAGCTCCCCATTGTGTGCCGGCCAGCAAAAGAAAACACTCTTTCATTGATTTGTGCCAACTCTTAAAGATTCCAATATCCATTGCCAAATAATACTTTCAAAGAATAACAATAAACAGCTTGAAGGTCAGGTTGGCAGTAAGCATTTTTTTTCATTCAACTAATGACACAGCTTCTGTGTTACAAGCTGCCCTAATTGTGTGGATTTTGTTTAGCTGTGATAACAATTGATACAGCACATGTACATGTAGGCCTCTGTACGAGGGCCTACATGTCGAGAACTCTGGTTCATATAGACTATATTCCGATTAGACGGTTTAACTACCTGACAATCTACCGGTATCCAGCCCTTCATGTACACTACATGTGCGGGTACCGGTATGTACACATGGGTACAGGTGCACATGTACATGTACATGTACCGATACTGTACATGTACAGTACATACTTGTAACCAATGTCACTTCATGCTGGCCAGTTGAAAATACCAGGAAGGATCGAGCCACATGCCCTGTGTATGATTTTTGTCACTGTCAAATGGAAAACAAAGATTATTTTACTGAAGTCCAGTAAACCACACCAACTCCCTGCAAATATCCCACACATGGTCATTATCAGTACCACACAAAATGTAAACAAGTGCTAGTAAATGTAGGCAGGCATTGGCTTATCACAATTTGCAGTTTGAACACTGATTAAGACTAAACTCTTCAAATCTAAATCAAGCTACTGATAACCCAGTGGCCAATTCCCCCCCCCCCATAAGGGAACCCTTCCAACATGTTCAAACCACATCCACGACCTCGGGTAAAATTCCCTCCCTAAAAGCAAACCCCAGAAACATTCTACCGGTACAAGTCCACAGTGAGATCTTATAATCCAGAACTGACAGAAGAAATGCATCTGGCAGTAGACCTCAACAACCAGCCCAGGGTAAATCCATTACCAAGACTGAGTAAACATGTAACTCCCCAAATATCACACTGACTGCATGAATATCACGTACACAGTCTGTACATAAGCATGGTACATACTGTAAACCAGTTTGTACATGTGCATGTGTGTTCTGCACAGTACAAATTGACATCTATGTTATGACAGCACAGTATTAAGCATAGGTCAACACACAAAGGTCACTCACCATGAACTTTGCCAGCATTTGTTAGGAAAAATAGGAATTACGTGTACATGTACCAAGCCGTGGAATGTATGACCATATAACAATCGTCTCACAGAACAAACGTGCATGTTTTCATGGTACCGGCACAAGTGTGTTCTCATTTTTTTGGTCTCTCCCGACATACCGTAAGGAAGGAACACAAATGGATACAATGCAATTTGAATAAGCTAACATTTTCATGTACACTGTAAACCTTTTACAAGTCTATTTAAGCGGTAGTCTACCTACTGTACATTTTACGTGCTTGTAGAACACAAGCACGTACACACACGGCCAATCTATTAATTGAACCCTGGTTGAATGTACATGTAGCTTACTGGTAAGTCTGTATTCTGTCGTGTACTGGTGTGGTACATGTACCGTACCTGTGCTGTGCATCCATATACATGTATGTATGAAGTGACAAGTGGCACCATCCCAAATGCGGTAGGCCTACACCCATGTATGATACGCACAGTCCCTCTTTTTTTCTTTTAAGAACATCAGTTATGTAAAGACACACCCTATACATGTATCAGTAGATGTCAATTCAGATTTCATCCCAAGCAAACCCACCGGCAACATTTCCCTTCTCCATCTACACGTAATCCCGGCACACTGTGTCAAGCTCACCACATTTCAACAACAGCTTCCAGCCTGGCCCTCAAGATGGCACATGACCACCCCGAATATGACAATGGCCTCCCAAGGGTCTCAAAAGCACCTAGAAGACATGTCATTTTCCCACGCACTTGCCTTCTGATGGGTAAATTGCGGCCCAAATTTAATGCCCCAAAATCCAAGCAGCATCTGTTTAGCTTGGGGACACTGCAATGCATTGCCTAGCGTCTGCCAAGATCCAATTCCCTCACCTTGAACCTCAGTCGCTTCAACAAGAAAAATTACCCACAAGCCTGGGGGGTTCCCCACTAAAGATTTTCTATCCAAACAGTCTAATTCACTCCTTGTTTGTGGATGATCTCAAGGGGAACATTGCATCCTCTGCTGGAGTGCTCCAACATCAAAGAACGGAAAAAAAGTGAAAACCCAATCTCTTTATCTTTGTGATTTAGGAAGCGGGACAAGTCTGCTGTTTCTAACAGTGGGGAGATTACTTACGCTTGGCTGGCAAGAAGGAATTGATGTCAGTATTTCACAGACCTGTCAAGTGTTGATCTTTTATGCCTGGGAGTTTTAAAGGGACTGCTGATGTCCTGGTAACAGCCACAAGGGTACACGTACCATGGATGTTTTTTGGTCACAGCACAGCTCCCTTTTGCCCCAACCACCCTCCTGGAGTCCCACCGGTGGCCTATTGGACACAGATGCTACTGTACTCAGGCAGCAAGATAATTCACCGCAGTCTGACATTGACAAAGTGCATGCTAAATGGGATCGCTGCTGGCTACGTACATGGATCAGGCTTGTTCAAACTGAGGGAGTAAATGTACATACATGTACAGGTACACATGGGTGGGGTCTCCATCTCAAGCGAGCCACATCTGGGATAAATTCACTGTGCCATAGATCCACCTACATGTACATGCACATCTGCACAGCATGAGTGTAGTCATGCTGCTGGTACATATAACATGTTTGTAAAGATAAGTACACCTCTTTCTCCAGAAATTTTTTTTTAACTTTCAACAACTACTTTCAGTTCTCTCTATGTACTGGTAGGCCAGTGCGTACGATCGTGCACCAGGAATAATTTGGTTTCATTTCATTTCTTAGTTTGCAGGTCAGTACAATAAAATGACCAAAAACAAAAAGCCCCCCTGCCGGATTGCTAATAAGTTAACTTAATAACTATCTGGTAGCTCTCTGGTTGAAATGATCAAGTATTTCAAGGTCAACAGGGTACATGTACACATATCTGGCATGTTGAAATAAACAAAAACCACCGTTTCCCAGACTCACCCACAACAATAATCTCTTGCATATTTACAAACACAGCAATCGCTCAGTCCAAATACAGGGCAAGCATTACCAAAAGTGAGGACCAGTGCAGCACACTCCTCTCCCAAAACAACATACCGTTTTGCCGCCCCTACAAACTGGGGTAGGTCAAAGTTCAGCATTAGAGAGCTGGAGGTCACATGGGTGGGAGGAGAGCCAACACGCATTCCATACGCATCCTATCATCACCTTCTGTTTACACTGAATTGAATCACACCTTATCGCACCCTTCAGGTTCAACGGCATTTATACACTTATTGTGTCAGGTTACTTTGCAATAACAGATGAAGACCACACCATACAAGCTGTTTTAATTCTACATGTAATTCCTCCATGTTTGTCCAATGAAGCTGTGAATTTTTTTAACACTAACCCTGAGTTTGATAACTTGGGTTCTAGTAAATATTCAAAATATTGCTATCACACTGCCACCTTTAAGGGCATCTAATCTGCTTAAGTTTTCACTCAAGTTTCCAAATCCTATGAAATATGTACCGGTATACTGCCATGAAAAATTGAGTGGGGGGACCCTTTAGGAAGCATATCTATGCTTTTGAGAGGTTGAAGTGCTTGTTTACATGACAAAAAA